GTTTTCAGTCCTGCTTCCCCATCAAAGAAAGCCTGTCACTCCAACCTCTTCCAATAGCCAGGGTTTTCAGTAATGCCAGGCAACAACTTGTCTGCCACTTCCCACTCAAGTTCTCACACTCCTGTTCTTCCCAGTGTGCACATCACACAGGACATGCTGCCTTGCTGGAGGAGCACAGCAGTGCACTTCCCCTATCAGGATCATGAGACAAGGGCATTTTCACCGTGGTTTTCTTACATCGCAAGTCAGCCCCATGTCACAGCTCCCTGTTTCCTTTGTCATGTCCCCCCCACAGTGCACCTTTGCACAAGGCTGCCTACTTTCCTGTGTGCAAATCCACGTTCCTGTGTGCAAACCCACTTCCATCATGCTTTTGGTTTGGAGTGCAGCTCAAAGCATGGCTGTTTGCACAGGGTGGTTGAACTAACCTTCAAAAGTTTCTGCCAAGAAGAATCCTCCTGGCACACACCACATTCCAGCCTTACAGACATGTATACTGATTAAGGTGGAAATTACTTTTCTTCCTGCCATGCACCAGTGCCTCTCAACTTACACAGATGCATCTGACCTCTTTATAGACAGACTTGCAGAACACAGAACTCTTCATGTTAAGTGTTTCATGGTGGATGTTGATAAAATCTGATGCTCTTAATGAGCAGGAAGTCATTCAGAATAGCCAGAGAATTATATGCCTTTTCTTTCAATCCAGTGCTTCCCTATTAGTGGGAAATACATTGAAATGTTACATTATTTCTTGCATTGAAGAAATATTGAAGAAATTTCTTGCATTTCACTTCCTAATAGAACCCAGTTCATCTGAATTGTTTTAAAGTCTCATCTAAACAGATTCCAAAATACCAGTACCCTAAATGGAAGAGGGAGATGGGGAGCAGAACAAAGCTCCCATAATCCAAGGAGATCTGCTACATTTAGTCACACAAGCCTATGGGGCTGAATGGGATTCACCTGAGCCTACTGGGGGAACTGGTGGAAGTCCTCATTGAGACACTATCCATCATTTCACAGAGTTACAGACAGGCAAGGATTTAAAAGTCCCACGAGTGGGCGGTGGGATCTAGTCCAACATCTCTGCTGTTTACCTGTAAAGCCTTCAAAACTGTCTCCTGCAGCATTTTCCTGGAGAAACTGGCTGCTCATGGCACAGATGGGTGCACTGCTCAAGGGGTGAGAGACTGTCTGGATGGCCAGACCCAGAGAATGGTGGTGAATGGAGTAGCATCCAGCTGCTGGCTGGTCACAAGTGCTCCCCAGGGCTCAGCACTGGGCTGGTTGTGTTTAACATCTTCAGCAATCTGGATGAGAGGATCAAGTGCACCCTCAGTCAGTTTGCAGACAAGACCAGGTTGGGCAGGATATTGATCTGCTGGAGGGCAGGAAGGCTCTGCAGAGAGATCTGGACAGGTTGGTTTGATGGGTTGAGGCCAAGGGTATGGGGTCCAACAAGGCCAAGTGTCAGGTCCTGCACAACAACCCCAGGCAGCTTTACAGAGCAGAGAGGCCGGAAAGCTGCCTGGAAGAAAAGGACCAGGAGGGGCTGGTCAACAGCAGCTGAACATGAACCAGCAGTGCCCAGATACCCAAGAAGGCCAATGTCAGCCTGGCCTGGATCAGCAATAGTGTGGCCAGCAGGAACAGGGCAGGGATTGTCCCCCTGTACTCAGCACCAATGAGGCCACACCTCCAATGCTGTGTTCAGTTCTCAGCCCTCACTGCAAGACATTGAGGCACTGGAATGTGTCCAGAGAAGGGCAGTGAACCTGGTGAAGGGTCTGGAGAATGAATCATAGGCTGAGGGAGCTGGAACTGTTTAGCCTGGTAAAGAAGGCTCAGTGGGGACCTGACAAGTAAAGATGGGACAGACAGTAGAACAAGCAGCCAGGTCTGGATGCAGTGGCAGAAATCCTGCTGAAAATCTGGTGGTCATGGCAGGGCAAGGGCACTTTCTCGAACCTGTGTTTTCAAACGCTTATCTTCAAGCATAGGGAAGTTATCAAGCTCCCTCAATGCACTGCTCTTTGCCCCTCCCAGCTGTTAAAAATCCTATATCATAAATTCCCAGCAGACATGAAACCAAGTGCAGTGCATGGAACATGCATTGCATCATGCCAGTTTTCTCAATACAATCTCAGAATGGAGATTTCATGTATTATATGTTGTAGCAGTAGATTTTTCTCAGTCCCTCTGAAACTCTGCCTGTTGTAGACCAAGACCAGAGATTTAAATGAGTTAGTGATCACAGAAAATTCCTTGCTTAGTTCTGCCTGACAATAAATCTGATCCTGTGTTACCTCCACACTGCATTATGCTGAAATAGCCCTTGTGATGCTCAATGTACAGATGCTATAACAAGTCATGTGTGCCATGGGGAAGTGCTAAAAACCCCACACAAATCCCATGGGCACAGCTTGGTCAAATGCTACACGAACACTTTCAACTGTGACTCTCTACCTCGGCATTACAGGACAAAAGGTATTTTATAGACTGCCTGCTGCAGCTTGAAATCTGTTCCAAAATATACAAAAAGCTAACTCCATTTGGTTATAAAGCATACAAAAGTAGAAATATTAACAAATTCAGGGAAAGAGTAGTTTCTGACATAGGAGAAGCTAACACAGTCCCCTGCTGGAAAAATATTGCAAAAACATGCTATTTCTGTATTGCTCATCTCTGTCTACTGCAAACACACAGCTATCACAGGCTGCTCGACTGACAAGAGGTGGCTAGCAATACACTAAGAAAAAAATTGACTGTTTGGGGAATCTCACCAGGCCTGCATGTGACAACAGTAGAATGGACATTAGGAAAAGCTTTGTCCTGGTTTAGACTGGGACAGTTAATTTTTGTCTTACTAGCTGGTACAGCGCTAAGTTTTCAATTCAGCAAAATGTGCTTCCTTTCCCAGGCTGGTTAGCACTGCCATGTTATTGGAAAGCCAGCAGATATGCCTGCAGGTGTGCACACCCACACAAATAGGGCCAGATTCCAGACAGCAGATACCCCAAGTGGAAAAGAATACCACAGAAGGGAGCTCTGCCATGCACAAAGGAGAGCCTGTACATGTTCAACAGAGAAACATAGTGAGGTCAGTGAGAATGTGCAGGAACTAATGGGAGCACCTGAGCAAATTTTGGACTGTGAAGACCTGCACTAAGTAATTCGTACCAAAGTTGTAACTATTCCTAGTAATTTGCAGAACTGTAGCTCTCATGTCTTCCTAAGGACACAAGAGTTAGATTTAGGCCTGGACAGTGGCTTTAAGGCAGCCACACAAGGTATAATATGACAAGCCTCTATCCCTTTTCCAGATGATGAAGCATGTCTTGCAGAGGAAATTCATCTCAAATTTCATATCAGCATTTCTCCAAAGTGCAAACTCCCCTTTTCTGGGACCCTTCAGCATCAGCACTGTGGGACTTATGGAGTATCTACAGATACACACATACACATATTAACCCACACAACCCCTGCCTATTGTAGGCCCCTCACTCCCACAATCAAGGATTACATGCTCCTTTTGCCTTCTCATGACCTATCACAGCAAATGAAGGTGTGACAGTGGGTAACAGCAAGTTCTGCACCTGAATTTCTGAGCCTGGTAGGTGTAGCAGGTTCAACAGGATGTAACTGAGACATCCCTTGAACAAGCAGGACACAGCTAAACCTCAGACAAAATGGTAGTGCCTTGAGGAACACCCATTTTAGAGTGCAGCAGCGAGGGGGGAGTGCAACAAAAACTCCTGTAAACACCCAGGTTGGAGAAGGAGGGGAAAAAGGTGCCAGAGGTGCTGGAGAAGGCTCCCCTGCAGCCTGTGGAGAATACCACAGTGAAGCAGGTTTCCCCTACAGCCCATGGAGGACTCCACACTGCAGCAGATGCACTGAAGGAATCTGCAGTCCATAGTGAGCCCTCAGCGGGGCAGGACCATTGGCAGGAACTCTAGCCCAGGATGAACCCACCTTGGAGCATATCTATCCTTGAAGGACTGCCAGCTGTGGAGAAGAACAACACTGGGGCAGGGAAAAGCATGAAGGGGGAGCAGGAAGGAGGAATGGTTATAGACAGACAAAAACTCCCATTCCCACCCTCCTGCACTGCTTGGTGGGAGGAGAGGGGAAGACAGGGGGAACAGAAATGGAAGAGTCAAGTTCAGCCTAAGTGGGGTAAGGGAAAGGTGGCTTAGTTTTTTTGTTTGTGAACAATAGGAAATCAGTGGTTTTTATCTCAATGCACAAGCTTTTCCATCTTATTCTTTCTCCCATCTCCTGCTGAGGGAGAGGTGTAAGAGTGGCTGTGTGAGGGTCTGGCAGCCAGCAATGGTCAACCCACCTCAATAAAAAGCATTCAAAAAGAAAAATCTCCAAAACACTTCAGGTAACAAGGAAATGACCATTTCAAATTGTGTAAAATATTCATCTTTACAGCGATGAACCCAGAGAAAAGTTGCAAAGTGAGACTTCTGAGAATAATTATAAACTGCTACAAATAAAGTCCTCTGTTCCAAGTATTTCTCCTTGCTGAACTAAGCTGGAATAAACCTATCATTTCACACACCCAAGATATTACTAATCCCTTCAAATGCTTTGTCCAAAGACTAAAACCATCTTTTCAAACAAATGGCTCCCTGCACTTCCCTCAACCCATCTCACCATCTGGCATAAAGCCACACTGATGATTCTGCTGCCATAAAAATCACCCCACTCCTCCCACTTCAGGCAGCACCAACCACAAAAAAATATCTATGGCACACACATCACAAATTTCTGTCTATTCAGATAAATCATGGATGTAGACATTTTTTACTCAATTGATGCAGTTTCTACTGTTTCCTGCTTTATTTCCTTTCACTATTTTCTGTCTTTGATCTCCTCCATTTCTTACATTACCTGAGCAGGTCAGGTTGCCAAATAAAGTGAACATTTCTCAATGTAAGATAGTTAAGATCCTCCTCCTCACCCCTCTAAACAACCCTTGCTTTGTGTTTTTTTTTTTTTTTTTCTCCAGGCATCAATTTACTATTATAATAGACCATGAAAAAGCTCTTTCAAGATAGTATAGCAGCTACTAAATTGGAGAGGTGCTTACTTATATGAATGGCAAAAAAAATAAAGCAATTTCCCTTTATCTCATAGCCCACATATTAGATGAAACATAACACTTCATAGGGTAGGGGAAAAATTCATGGTTTAATTACAATGCAGCATAAAAGCTTTAGTAGTGGATACCAGGATATTATTGTGACATCTAAACTAGAGTTCTTCACAGACACTGTAAACAGATACTCTAAATTCCCTAAATGATTTGCATTAAAAAGGTTTATACAAAAGCAGTCAGTTATTCTTTAGGATGTCACGACATGGTGAGACAAACACACATACATCAGTAAGTACAGAGAAATGTTATGCTACATTTTGGACAGTTCAGAACTGAAAGTGCTTCACATCTATAGGATAAGAAATGGCTTCATCTCCTCATCCCTAAATGATGAGAGCAAACAAACAACCCTTTAATAGGTTAAATAAACAGTGCCCCATTTATCCATGCTTATGTAAAGTTTCCAACAATTCAGAAGGTCCATGGTGACATTTACAATCTATATACACTGTAACAAATTGTCAATGAAAACAAGTTCAGGTACTTCTTGGTTCCCAAAAGTTGGAAGCTGCTCTCTGCACTAGAGACAAAAGCTACCTACAACATTCTGTCAGATTTCTTTACTGCCTCCTTTTTGTGTGTGTTTGTGTAAAAATTAGTCCTCTCAATCCACCTTGAATAAAATCAGTCCCTAAGTCCTGGTCATATTTAACAACTGCTTCATCCCAGTGTTTAAGGCATGTTCATTAGATGTCAGTGTAGGGGTACTGTCAGGAATTATAATATCACAGGTACTAAGAGTCAGCAGATTTACACAGCAACATCACTCTTTACAATATAATGCAAAACAAATTGTTATGATGGAAATTGTTCCTGAGTTAAAATTTGCTAAATACTGCTAAGCTTAATGTTTTCCTTTTATACTTCTTCCTCTGGAATGTCCTTTCATATCTGCTCAATTGAAAATTAAAAATCACTCTGAAAATACTCTGGATGTCAAAGTGAAAATGTTAGCAAAATTCTAATTGTATTGACTTTACCATGTCTAAATTTGGCCATGATAGTATGCATTTGCAGGGGTTAGTATCACTTAGCTTTTAGCAAGGATATTTTCTAAATGTGAAGATAAAATGTCAGTCCACAATTTTGTGCAAATATCAAGGGAAGATTTGGGTAACAATAATTTACAAATTTCAAGTTCTGTGAAGATATAATACTGGTAATGTAGATATTTTTCATTTTCTCCTCCTTTAGAATGAAAGGAAAACATTTTTAAATTGCAGGAACACAAGACACCTACAAATATATTCAGCTTCCTAAAAGAGACAATTTGTCTATTCAGGTTATGAAGCATTCATTCCCACAGAATTGTTTCTCAAGTATGTAATCATTGACAGAATTTCCTATTTAAAAAAGCCGTTCTTGACTGAAAAAAGTGGGTAGCTTTAAAAGTAGATTTTTCATTAGATTCAAAATGTGCATTACAAGTCTCACAACCTAAATCATCCTGGCTCCCACTCACTAAAGTTTGTACAAACATTTGCTGAAGTCTGAGCATTACATTTAGCAGGAGTTAAAAGAGCAGTAGAAAATCAGAATGACAAAAGGTGTGACTCAAGTCTGTGCTATACCTGCACTTCTGACTCAACTGAACACAAACCCCTTTAGAAAGCTGCACTGTCTGGAGTCAAATCCAAAGTTTGATGAAATCCATGAAAATAATGAGCTTTTATGGGATTAGTATTTTAAGTGCTTCATCTGAAGCTCACCATTTGCAGTGATGTATCATCCATCTCCTATCTTAAATACAAGAAACTGCAGTGATTGCACCTATCAGACTAGGGAATTAATGTTCCTTTATGTATTTTAAAATCTGTCAGCAGTGCAAATTATGAGTTACAGTACGATTAAAAAAATCTTCCACATTTCTTTCCATTTAAATCCCAGTAGGACAAAAATCAGCAACAACATGCAAAGAAAAAAGGGTGGGAAAGGAATGACTGCTTCCACAGTATGGGAACTCCAAAAATTATATAGTGGTATAGAAACAAAGCTCTGAATGAAGTTTGGCCTAGCCCATGTGTCTTTTGCACAAAGGTTAGCTAAAACTTAATTACTGTGACAATAAAATATAAATAGCAACAATTTATTCACATAATTCTGGATTAGATTGATTTTTTCCTTTAAGAAACTGTATGATCCGTTATCAGCCAGCTGTATGTTTAAGCACAACAATAGAAAATGTAGTACATAAACACCTAAAAATCACAGTCATAAAAAGCAGGCAAGTACATCAGTCTTTTGGTGGCCAAAGCACAATAGATTAGTCTGCCAAACAAGTGTATGTGAATGTCAATTGTGGGCATTAGATTTGTTAAAAATTGTTTCTACTGTCAATAAACAATTTCCTGTATTTTAATACTGTCCTTAAGGAACTGTAAACTGTTTAAAGTAACAGGTAACAGTAAAGGTTTTAAATATAGTGGTAAATAGGAAAATCAGGGGTTTAAATTTGCATGTGTGGTGAGTGGGTAATTTGGAACTAATTCATAATTATCCACAAAGAACTCTGACCTTTCTTAGGTAAGACAGTACTGCCATCATTTCTAACACTTGTGACCATTATGATAACACAAGAAAAAACCCCAACATATCAGCCCTGATACATCAATCACATATGCATTCTAAATTACAGCTATTTACATGAAAAATATATATTTAATTAAAAAGCCACTGAAAAACATGGACTTTTAGTCAGGTGCCGCACTTTATGCAAAATGAGGTAATTTGGATGCAAACAAATTAAGTGTAGTAGAGTTCAGGATCCACAGTCTCCATGCTTAAAGTACAGATTGCTGCAGTAAATGGCTTGACTCTTTCTGTATGTTCAGAGCAAGAAATCACTAGATCCAGTTAAATCCTGTTTTATAGTGCTCTTGATGCAACACTGACTAATGTCAGAAGGCTTCCCAGCTCAGTTCTACAACTGGTCTTTCAATAGAAAGAAGAAGGGGAAAAGAAAAAGTGGTTATAAGTTGGTTTCATCCCAAGATGGATCATTCATATTCTTTAAAACTTTTCTAACAAGCTTCTCCAAGTCCTTGCGAGCTCTTTGTTCCTCTTCTAATGATTTCTTCATCTTTTTGTTATCCTGTGTAACAGAGACAGAGATATTACTGGTTGGTTTTGGGGGCTTTTAACAGATCTGACTACACATACACTGTCATTTACAAACTCTGAAGGCTTTTCCCAATAAAACTGATATTAGCTGTACAAAAGCAAAGCTTCTATTAACTTTACAAGTTACACACAGTTATTTCACACAACGCAACAAAAGCTCCCAAATGGAAACTGAGCTACTTCCTATTTGTACTTGGAGGGCCTTTACACGGCAAGTTCTAGTAACAGATGGCCACTAATCACGAATTCTTCTGCTCAAATCTGATCAATGAGGAGTAGAATATATTTGTTGCTAATGGAGAAGGGAAATGGAGCAGTAAGCAGACTAAATATCCCCTGTAAGAACCTCCTGTGATTTTAACTGGTTTCAGTCTCCAAAGAGCTTAAAACTTAATGCAAATCAACTTGCTTCATTAGGAATGTAAATAGTTGAAAGCAGTATCCCGAAAACCAATACGTTCTCTGAAAAGTGTTTTGTGACTAGATTTTAAACTAGACTGATGACTTCCAGAAGTCTAAGAGAAGTCTGAATTTCAAGGAACACCATCTCTCCACATGTATATTAACAAGTGAGTTCTCACTGTTTAGTGTCATGAGGCAATATTGAAATAAATGAACAACAGGACCATAAGGATGACAGGGATCAATCTACAGGAACGCTCACATTGTTTAATCCTGTATAGGTCAAGGTGATGCTGGGAATAGTAGGAAAGCAACCAGAAGATAAAATAACATTGAAATAAGGCCCCAAGATAAGTCTAATGGTGTTTAACAAACACAGGCCTTCAATCCAAGGGTCCAACTGGACTCCCTTTATCTGTCCTTTACAGACATTTTAGAAAAAGGATGAGATCATAAAACCATAGAATGAGTTGAGTTGGAAGGGACTCATCAAGATCATTAAGTTCATCTCCTGACCTTGCACAGGACACCCCAACAATCACACCATGTGCCTGAAAGCATTGTCCAAATGCTTCCTGAATTCAGACAGGCTTGGTGCTGTGACCTGGGCCTGGGGGCCTGGAGAGCCTGTTCCAGTACCCAACTACCCCCCTGGTGAAAAATCTTTTCCTAATATCCAACCTGAACCTCCTCTGGCTCAGTTTCATGCTGTTTCCTCAAGTCCTGACACTGGTCACCAGAGGAGATTGGTACCTGCTCTTCTTCTTCCCCTCACAAGGAACTTGTAGACCACAATAAGGCCTCCTCTCAGCCTCCTCCAGGCTGAACAGACCAAGGGACCTCAGGCCATATGGCTTCCCCTCAAGGCCCTTCACAATCCTCATGGCCCTCCTTTGGACATTCTAACAATTCAATGTCTTTCTTTTATCATGGCACCCAAAACTGCCCCCCAGCACTCGAGGTGAGGCCACCCCAGCTCAGAGCAGAGGGGACAATCCCCTCCCTTGCCCAGCTGGCCATGCTGTGCCTGATGCTCCCAGGACAGGAATGTCCCTCCTGGCTGTCAGGGCGCTGCTGGCTCACGTTCAGCTTGCCAATGACCAGGACCCCTAGGTCTCTTTCCATGGCACTGCTCTGCAGCTTCTTCCTCTCTAGTCTCTACACACAACAATGGTGTGTCGCCTCATTAACTGCATTCCCTCCTCAAGTCTGTTAAGAAACTTCATTATTGGGAAAGTTCATTATTTTATGTAGGAACAGATTTAAGTTAAGTCTGACAATTCAGGACCAGCTCAAGTGCATTGCCTGTGGAACAGCAGCTATGAATAACTGATGGAAGCTGCCCTAGGAAGGATCCCACTTTGCAGTCTGGTGTCTACACCAGCCAGGACACCATGTACTCCCAGACAGCCTTTATCCAAAAAGCCCTTGCCAGCTCAGAGATTATTTCTGCCCCTTCTTTGGTTGGCAGCATCAGAGCAGTGGACCAATAAATGCTTTCAAGAAGAGATTCCTGAATTCCTGATATGTTAGAAAATTAAATCAGGCTTTAATATGTTTTAGCTTGGAAGATCTAAGATTCTTAAGAACATCTATTTGGAAAGGCACCAGAAAAGAGAGCTTTTGCATGAAGCTCAGGAGAAGGTGACTTTTTATTTAAGGGTCATGGAGCTGTGCAGAGCTTCAGTGAGGCTGCACATTTATTCTTTGTACAAAAGCAGGAGGCCAGCAGGACTATTAGTGGGCTCTTATTATTGCTTTTATTATATGAATTGTATATTTTAAAAGACTGCCAAATTCAGCTCTAACCTGGGATACTCATTCTTTATATGCTGAACCCAGCAAATCTAAGTATGCAACACATCAACTGTCCTATTTCAAGGAACATGCATGACATCCTTAGAAATACTAGGCATGGTTACAGATGGCAAAAAAAAAAAAAAAAATCACATTTATAGTCCCAAACCTGAAGAAATTTGAACACAAATCCTATTTACATTAACACAAGAAATTTTATCCAACTTCTGGTGTCAGAGTGGTAAGCAAATTCACACCTTGCATAGTGAGGAAAATCCAATGCTTCTTTTCACCTATACATTAAGCCAAGTCTACATGCAGCACCATTAACAATCTATGCCCTGATAAAGTGATATTTTTATTTAATCATGGTGGATATTTAGAACAAGTGACAAAAAAAGCACCCAGAGCTATTGTGAAGCTCTCATTAAAAAAAAAAACCAACATGTGATAGGCACTGGAAAAGACTCTTGTCTCTAGAAATGAGCAGTTTTAAGAACTGATCCATAGAGGTGTTCAGGTAACTTTAGGACTGTATAATTTTAGAACTATAAATATCTGCTTCTATTTAGGCCTTTATTAGTGTTCTCGAGCAACTGATTTCTCAGCCTCTGTAATCTTACTTTGCTGGTGATACAGCACAAATGAATTTACTTAACACCTTGACCATTTCAGAAACTGCAACATCCAAAACCAGCTCAGTAATTCACTTCAGAGAAGCAATCCTCAACGCTGTTCTCAAAAGACTGATAACAACAACAGGGAGTGCTTTTTTGGCAAATAATATTTTACTTTTAAAAGAAAATCTAGTCCAAAATTCAAGCTCATGACTGTCAAAGTGAACTTGCAAGCCATATTTAGTTTTATAACAAGCCTTCCATCTTTTCTTTCTCCATGTTGCTATAAATGTAGCAAGTTACCAACCTGTCTTAACTCCTGTACTTCATCCTTTAATGCATATACTGTGTCAACAAGGCTTCTAAAATGAAAAAAAGAAGATAATCTGTAACAACAGTTTTCAGAAATACACATCTAAATCTATTATTAGACAAAACTGTTTAATGAAATGCAATTAAATAAAAAACACCCCACACCTAATAGCTAATTTCAGACCTGTGTTAAACAAAAAAAACCAAAAACCTGTCTGTAATCCTTATTTATATTCAGTAAGGCAAGGACTTGTTACCAGCTTTTGTGACAAGAAACACCTCTCAAGCATTTATGGATCTCTGCTGGTTTCTGTATTAAAGCTTTCTAGAACAGAAGTTTAGTTTCACTTCCAACATACACTTTACCAAGAAAGTTGAATGACACCACAGGCTAACTAGAAGGATGACACCAATTTAATACTGAAATCTGACAGCACTCGGAAAAACTATTTGTAAGTGAAGCACATCACTTCTTGGCATGGGTGGAATAGCTTGCACAGCATATACAAAGAACCAGACATTTAAATGAAGGCCAGCTGCACTGAGAGGACTGGCAGCATACTCCAAACAGCTCTATTCCAACTGCAAACACACCACACACACCCTGCTATAATGGGAGACACGAGGAGGAGGAAGAGTTGAAAGTTTACTACTTTAATTCATCATTCATTAAACATTTTCTTACTTCTCTTCTATAACAGTCTGACCATTACTTTTAGTTTCTTCTACAATAATTTTTTCTTCTTCTGGAAGCAGGACTTGAGGAGCTGATTCTTTACGGGAACCTGTTATAAAAATAAATTACAAAGTGAGCAACTCACAAATATCCCTGGGGCATTTTAAAGATTATTCTTTCATTCACCGCATGATACACCCCCATGACCAAGGTATACCACTTTCCATTTCCGCCTTCCCTCTACACATGAGTTACTGGAATATTTTTTACTTTTGAAACCACAGCCTTACAACAACAAAAGGTTGTGTGACACCCCTACCCCACTGGAGACATAATTCCCAAGTCACTGACGGGGATGTTCAAGGAACAGTGCACTATTCAATCATCAGTAAAAGCTGTGCAAATTCCCCACTGCAGACTGAGAAAGACATAGCTGTGTTTAAATAACAGCTTTAAGTGTCAAGGACAGATTCTGATCTCACACTGGTACAAATCCAAGACATATTTCTGCTCTAAACCCACTACTCCGTCAGTAAGGAGCAGAAAAGTGGTATCAAATGACACAGCAATTAAAGAAAAATAAGTAAAAACCCTTTTCCCCAAAACACTGTAAGCATCCCACTTTATGTGTGCACACATATACATGCAAATACTCTTACAGAGACCCTTTTAGTCCTACAATACATTCCTACCAAATGACACACACTCTTTGTATTTAATAGGTGGTTTAAAAAGCACTTCATGGTTTGATGATAAAAACTCAAAACATTCCAACATCTTCAGAATTTTTTCCACATATTACAATTTATAACATCAAGACAAAACATATAGATTATAAAAATGTAGTTCTGACTAGAAAAGCTTCAACTCAGAAATGTGCATCCACCCATGATTCTATAAACATTATTCAATTGGGCTGCAACAAATTACAAAGGATTTTTTTTAAGAAAGTCTGTAAATAAATTGGTATCTAAGCATTTGTTCAGAATTCAAACACTGCAGATAAAGCACTGAACTCCTTACATTTTTTAATTAAGACATTGGTTTTAACAAACAAGGTACACCTGTCACAAATTCACTGTAGTGAACTTCCATTAACCAGGAATTTCTCAAGTCTCATACAGTTGAAACTGATAACTTGGTACTACAGAGCACTTGCCTGCCCAGAGAAATCAGTTGCTGAACAGCTGCTTTGTGCTAGCAGCACTTTTCTTTTAAGGTTCATGGTAAAATACAAAATATAAACAAATAAGCAAAAATGTTAAATAAACCACAATCACTGCAAAATATTAACTTCCCAAACAGCTGCAGTCTTGAGTTCTGAACAGTGAGCTCATAGGGATCCCATCTTAGCTGTACATGTTTAGCTATTTAAATTATTTTAACAAACAATGACAAATGTCTTTAATGCAGAAAAAAGTTTCCTTAAGCTTACAGTAAAGATCTAATGTATCAGTATGTGATTGTCAAAATTATATAGACTAAAGAGAACAGCAGATTTGAGAAAGAATCTTGTCCTCAAAAGCTGTAAATTCTTCTTACGGGGCGAAGAAATCTTTTAAGGGTTAATACATTTCCACTTATTTTCCAGGAGGAACAACCTATAAAACAAACACATCCAAATTCTGCAGGGAGCTCAAGGACACTTCCCTCTGTGTGCTGTCAGTCTCTGTAAAAAGCTCTCTTATGTTTATTTCAGTTAATTGCATACTGCTCTGCTTTATTAGCCTGGCAGCTAACACAGAACTGAATTAAATGTTGTATTAGGAATTAGTTGGCAGCAGCTGCTACCAGATCACTGCATTTTGGGTCTCTGTACTGATGTGGAGCACACCTCAGCCCAGCACAGGCCAAGGGGACACTGACCAAGGGGAGAGAACTGGCACAGGTTTCTCACCCGTGACTCCTATCACCCAAATGGAGCACACGTTTTTTCCCTTTGTACAGAGCTGCATCCAGCTGCCAGCCTGGGCAGGGCAATGGTTCCTTGCAAAGCACAAATAGCAGGGAGGAGACAGCTTGACAACAAATGTGCCAGCTGTTCAGTTATACACACACATGCATGTGAAGCAGATGTTACAGCAGCACATCCTGATGGAAGTGCAGCAGAGCACAGCACACAACACTGCACAGACACACAAAGCACTTCACCAACATTATTATACACAAGGAGACCTCAGGCTACACAAACACACCCAATGGAACACTGCTGCTGCCAACACTGACCTTCCTGTGCCACAGGACACACTGTGGAACACAAGTTCCACGCTTGCCTTCACTGCTCCAATACCCTTGGTCATACAAACCCTTATTTGTATGTCAGAACTCTTGCTGCTCTTATGGCTGATACTTTTGTAAAAACCCCCACACTTTCTCTCCTTGATCATGGTTTGGTTTTTGTGAGCTTTGGAGGGTTTTTCTTTATTGTAGATTTTTTTCCTAAACCCCACAAGCACATGCTGAGTATCAAAGGTACAAACACACAACACATCAATCCTGCCACAAAGGACCCGGTCATCAAATGAGTACATGCACAGTAACATCAGACATGAGGTGTCAAGTTCTAAAGGCAAAAAAAAGCTATTTCTGAATAATGCTTTTCTGCATCATTTATGCCAGGAGCTATCTTTGTTTTTTTTTTTTTTGGAAGTAACTTCAATCTGGAAGTAACTTCAAGCAGAGTCATCACTGGCACTCAGCAATATCCCCTAAATTCCACCTTGTACCATCATGAAGTTCTTTAGGCCTACCCCCTGTGCAACCATTTCCCTCTGGAAAAGCTACAGCTTTAGGACATGAAGAGAGGGTTGTGTTACAGTACAGTGGGCACTTCCCACTGAATTAATACTGACAGGACAGTCTGGGAAGTTCGTACAGCTCAGAAAATCCTGAACACCTTTGAGACATACTCCACATTTTCATGAAATAGGGTGGAAGAATCAAGTTACTTTAGTTTGCCATATCTGCTATTCCTCAATTCTAAGCACCCAAGTTTGACACTGTATTTTATTACAAGACACTATTCCAAGTCAAAAAGGCCAAATGACTGTATTTAAATTGACCTCAACTGCCCAATTCACCTGGAGAGAACATAACCACAAGTTACTAGTCAGTTAGTTTGTAGGGGTTTTTCACGTGGGGATTTGTTGTTGTTTTGTATTAGTTTGGGTTTGGGGGTTGGTTTGTTTAATTTTTTGGTTTTTTTAAAGATGGACACCCTGCACCCCAAGCTACACAAAACAGGGTTTCATTTAATTTGAGGGTTTTTTTTGGAGGGGGTGGGTATTGAAGGAAGTAAGGTAGATGGGAGGAGAAACTATGTTTGACAAACCCAAACCATTATTTCAAGATTAGCAAGCAAATATCAAAGCCAAGTAAGTTGCCATAACTTCTCAATAGGGAACTCTTAAAACCAGGGTCTTGGAAGAATGACCCCACTGTTCAGAAGTCTGTTGAGTAATTAAAGCAAACAACTGACCACTACAGTCATGAGTTAATTAAGTTTCAATAAATTAAATTCCATGACAAAACCTAAAGCTATCTATTCAATATCAATACTTCTCAGCACTAGAGTGGAGAATAAAGAACTACAATGCTTTTTGACAAAACCATACCCTCAATTACAGGTTTAGCAAATTTAGCCTCCAGAGTAAAGCCAGCAACAACACAGCCCACCTGACAATCAGAGCAGGGCTACAGGCCTTGGCAATACCCCCTACATAATGTGGTAGAACACCTGCAATACAGGAATAGGCCTGTGAGGAACAGCCCCCTGCTTTTGGTTTTCAGGGTCCCCTTTCCAGCTAAATCAATCAGTCTAAAACAAGCAAGCAGTTCTGAGCATTTCTATAAATAAGGAAAGCTGGAACCTGTTTGGCTATTTCCATGGCTGAAAGACTTCATAACAAAAGTTCAGTTTACACCTGCCTAAAACAGGTAGAGTGTTACTGGAGTATGGTCTTAACACCGAACCAGGAAGAGACTACAGAGGTTCAGGCTTCTGTGGAGACAGAAGCATACTCTTTGCTCCACGTTATTAATCAAAACAGACTTTCAATTTGTCTAGATTCAGGGTTTCTAATTAGAACAGGAGGATTTTCTTTCAGTTTTGCCTGTGTGTAATTTGAAAAGTGCCTAAAGATTGGTGGATTAGGTTCTGTACTCAAAACTGTTTAGAAAATTAAAAACATACAGAGCCTTGTTCAGCCTGTAGTCACAGAGGTTCTCACTGATGTCTGTTTGCAATCCTAACTCACAGCCTCAGCCTTTCATTCACTCTCCCCCAAAAAGAGCATGACATCTTACAAAATGGTTGACACAGAGTCAACCGCCCTGCCATGGGCAGAGACACCTTCCCCTAGACCAGGCTGCCCAAAGCCCCATCCAAACAGGCCTGAGCACTCCCAGGGATGGGGCATTCACAATTTCCCTGGGCACCATGCAATTTTTATACGGCACCATCCTGGCTCCTGGCAGAAGCCAGGCTTCAGAGAGAGCTGTAAACAGCCTGGTCCTTTGTTTTGAATCATTTAGCAGACAAATATGAAGGCAGTTTAGAATTTTGGCAGAAGGGAAGTAAGAAAAGAGGGATGAAATTCAGAAACCTTTCTGCTTTAACTGGATATTAAATCTCTGCCTATGTCCATGTCTGTCAGGAAACATTTAAGCAAAGAGAAAAATGGAGGTGGTTATTCACATTATCTGCTAAAGCAGCTAATTTCAGGGCATCAGTTAAAAGACAGCTCTCCCCAGTCAACCAAGAACAGCTTCCTCCAGCTGGTGAAAGGGAGGAGAAGGCTCATAGAAGACTATGAAAGGCTCATAGAAGACTATGAGTATCCTAATTTAAGGTATGGAAGTGAGATGAGTGGGCATGGTGGTAATTTCAAGAAGTGCACAGCATTATCTGAGGCCATGAGCAAAGGCTCTGTTGCACACCTTTTAAGTACTGCTGTTTTCTTCACTTCTTCATACCTTTACTGTGATTAGGAGAGGTAAGTAGGGGAACAAGGCAGGGATAAAGGTCAAAAGTTTGAAACAGTACTTATTTATATACAATTCTGTTTTTCACCAACTCCACTAAGCTAAGAAGCTCTCAGAAATTAAATTTACTTGAGTTTCAATGATAGGAGTGTGACTTGCCACTGAAAACAAGTTTGTGCATACACAGCTGTTTAGATCTACCATTAACACTGGCATGTACAGATATGTACATTTCCTAGTGAAGCAAATGTTAGACAAAAAATTACTTGTCATTTTTAAATATTCAGTGTGTCACTGCATTTGCTATATTAAATACGTTAAAGCAGATGAGCAGACTTGCCAAATTAACCTTCTCTTTCTTAATAAATTTTTCATGAGGTCCTAATACAAACAATTCTAAAAATGCTCCTCCCTAGACTCTGCATGCGTTGGGATTTAAAAATTGGAAAAATCTGTGCTACAGATCTGCCAAAATCAAAAGGGTATCCTTTACTCTCTTTGTAAAGAAAACACAAATCAGAGGCCAAATATCAGCTAAACTTTAGTTCACCGTATAACATACACCATAGTTTTCAAATTCTTGGGAATTATAAAAAAGGTTTGGGCATGAAGTTGTTTTGTCTTTTTTAACTAATAGAGATCACAAACAGGAATAAAACCCCACATGACTCAGATGACTGATTCAGGCAATTTACAGCAATATGCTTAGATGAGTATAATGGAAACAATCAAGGTGGACCAAAGTACAACTTCATATGTAAGCGTTACTCATGTAAGAACAGAATGGTTTGAGAAGACAGGTACACCATCTGAAGACATGGGAGATCCCTGAGACAACATTTGCAAAGAGCATCTCCACTAAACTGCCTGTATTTCACTAACCAATGCAAAAACTTCTAAGCCCATGGCTGCAGGACTAGAGCTGCTACAATCACAGCAAAACAAAGTTATGACCTTTTAATAGAGAGGGGCGGTTATTAAATTTGTTCTGATGTAAACATTTTATATATAATATATGTAAACATATATTAGCTTACTGATTTGTTTAAATTCACTTATATGTATGCAACTTTTAAGCAGAAACACTACAAATAACTCTTGCTTTTAAAATAAAAATGTCATCATATTAAATCATGAAAACACATAAAAATGTTGTCATATTAAATCATGAAACCACATTATATACACCCTTAGTATATTAATAACATTTCTTTCTGGCAATAGGACCTGCAGAAGTAGATTTTAGATTGTTCCAACAATTCAGTCCATGCTTCTACTGAGAATATACCAACAAAAAAGACCCCACAAAAAAAACCAACAACAAAAAAACCACACACCAAAAAAAACCAACCAACCAACAAAAAAAAAAAAAAAAAACAACAAAAAAACCCCACAAAAACAAACAAAAAAACTAAAAGGACCAAAATAAACTCAATTTAACAGGAGAGGAAGGCAATAGAAAAACAATCTATAGATGGCAATGTCTCTGAAATTATTTTTACAAAAAAGGGGATATAGAAGAATACATACTTCCCATTACACTGAATTTCCTGTAGATGCGAACTACATTAAACAAAGATTACACACTTATGTCAAAAAAGGTTTCGCACGTCAGCATTTGATTCCTCTGGGAAGAAGAGAGGAAGAGAAAGCAGGCATAGGGAGAAGAGGATGTGTTAAGTTACAAGTTCTGATGTCCTTTCCCCCTGTGTAATAATTAAATATTAAAGTCACAGTCTAGCAAATGCAAAATTTATTTCAACTGTACATAACAGATGTCCTTTTCATATAAAACAAAACACTTAATTGATATATGCAACCACAAACAATATGCATTACTGTACAGTACAATGAAACATTCAGATATACATCCATTTTGCATTTTCCAAAGGCAGTCACCTACTAAAGATGGCTTCTCCCATTCACAAATGAAGTGCACAATATATATTACTCTTTCTATGTTTTACGTCACTATATACACATTACTGTGTTTTGGCAAGATTATGCAAAACACCCAATCAATACTGGCTGGCTTCAGCTTATGATAAGTACTAATTGATATGGGAACACTGCATAAGCCATGAGAAGAGGGCCTGACAATGGCTTGAACCTACCTTCCAATTCAGGTTCTCCATCCTTCCAGTGTATTTGTAACTGTACACATACAATTTACAGAATTGCATAAACATAAGGTACTGTTATTACCATGACTAAAGTTCCACAAAAATAGAAACACTGCACCTTTGGACTGAATACCATCATTTCCACATTTATCCTTTTTTTGTTTCAAACATTTTGAATTAATACTCCTGATCAGTTCACAATAGTTTACAGCCTGTAACATTGAAGATGTAGAATGGTTTTAAATGTGCTGTGATGTTAATATGAGAATACACAATATGAGAGATCCTAATTATGATAGTACCTAATGACATAAATGCTACAATAATTAAAGGTGGTAAACTGTCAAAGCTTTGGTGCATAAAAAGTCAAAATCTTCAGATCTGGATAACAAAACTTTCTGTGTGATAAGGTAAGTTCAAGTGCAACAACTGTATTACAAACTCATATTTACACTACATAACATGAAACAGACATAAAAGAATTATCATTTATCCAGTGCAGAAAACATTATTCAACTATAACACCACATCATAAGAAACAGGGCAAAAAACAATCTGTACTTTGCATATATGTTAAAAAAAACAAAACAAAAAAACTGATTGAAAAGAAGAAAGGAGTGAAGTGGGTTACAAATGTGCTGTGAAATGATATGGAGCAAATATACTTATCTCATTTCTCTAAGCAAGACTCCTCCATTTGCAAAAGGTTCAACATACAGTTCCTGGTCATTAGATTAATATATGACCAGCAGTAAAATGCACCCCTGAAAACCCTCCTTGGTAAGCACTACTGCTTTTGTTAGTCACATTACAGAATGCCAGCAACAGTGAGAGAGGATAAAGCAGGGGATCAAACAAGACTGAACGCAAATTGAAGACATGAATTGCCTTGAAACATCTTCTCCACACTGACCACCTTCTGGAATCATGCACTCCTAGCAATTGCAACTTTCTGATCAGGTGACCTGCAGAGAGGTATTGATTACCTTTTAAACAGTGTGATCAAGTTGCCAGGCTGCAGGTAAATTTCATCACAATTACTCTGAACTTGTTCATAGAGTAGTATCTGAACACTGGATAGCATGCTTCTGTGAAAAGTGATAAGGGTGCTGCACTTGGGAGCCCTGGCAAAACTGAGAACTGTTTCTGTCCTTTCATCACTTTCACGAAACTTTTCCCTAATGCTTACAAAGATTTGGAAAACATGCCATTTTTGTTTTGATGCCAATTACTTTAACAACAAGTCAGAGCACACACACACAGTTCACCCCAGCAGTGCCCCAGGTGCAGGTTTGAGACCTTCAGCTGTGCACAGCATGTCACAGTTCTCTGAAAAAGCCAACATGACTGTAAGTGAAGAGCTGCTGCTGAAAACAAACCTGCTTATGAGAGAAGTTACAAGACACAATAAAATCTGTCACAGACATGCTCCAAACAGTACAACCCAAAAGCCAAGCATTCTATTATTCAGAACTTCAAGCAAGCCAATTTGATCACAGTTGTACCTAGAGTTTCAGATGCTGAACACTGGAGCCTCCATCAGGGGAATCATTTTCCTCTCGTCTTTTCAAGAAGAATGGTCAATTGAGAGTTGACAGTTGTGTATTTTAACAGGCAAGTAAACATCTAAACCCTGCTTTCTGCCACACTACTGCACACAGTAAAGTGACAGTATGACCACAGGTAACATGAGAGTACCAAAACACTGCATGTAATGAGCATGGACTGCCAGGCTTTCATGACAATTGCTGGACTGGGGTGGGGAAAGAGCAGCAAGGTCCTTCATATAAACGTTTTAAGCAATGAGCAAAAGACAGCAGTATAAAACCAGAAATTTTTATGGATTAGCAAATGCTCTTCCAAACAAACAGGCCAGATATGTGAGTATCTGAATGATTTTACAGCTCTTGTACTGCTTATTCTTAAGCTGCATTTCACTTACTCTACCAGCTATGTATTTTGTTAATAATACGTAGAAAATCCAACCACTACCACTAAGGTATTTCCATATAGCTGGCACTCAGCTCTCAAACCAGTATGGCTTCAGTACAAAATATAAAAATGTGTTTATCCAAAATAAAACAAAACAAAGGACCTGTTACTACACTGACCAAGTCAAAAGAAAAAAAAGACCATTCAGAGCTACAAATTAACATCTGTCAGTTTAAAAAACCCTCAAGAAGTATCATCCTTAACAGGATATACACTTTTTTAGAATGACTTATTTGTACGTGTACTGAATTGACAATAGAGCCTTCCACCAGGTATAACTGAAGTTTCAGGAGCTCCCTCAGAAGTTGTTAAAATATCACATTAAAGAGACAAGGAACAGCAAGAAAACATCTAAGAAAAGCAGGCTGTGATACAACAAGCATTTGTTAAGAAAAAGCTCAGAAGTGCATTAGTTCTGGTGAGAGATATATGAGCAACAGCTCTTACGAGATGTAGACCCCATTCTGTAACTATGGGCTGTCCATATACTGTCATAGTCAGAGTCTTCTGAGAGGTCTGAAGGCTCCAAACGAGAAAGGCTACTGCGACGACCCAAGGAGTCTAGACTTGATTGGTCATCATCAGCCAAGACGTGATTATGCATCAGGTCAGTGCCTTGCCATGCTAAGGATGTATAGGTGAAATGAAATGGTGGATGTGGATAGGCAGAGGTGGGATGAGGAGGAGAACGTAAGGAATAGCCACAACCAAACACATGAAATAAAAGCAAAAAGGTGATGGGAAGAGAAGGAAAAGAGAAAATATTGTTAAAAAGGCACCAAAGTTGGTTTTTTCTTTTTTTTTTTTCAAATTTGTTTGGGGTTTAGGTATAAATTACACTCAGCACATAATGTTTGAACGGTTACAATACAATTTTGAAGTGGTTTTTAAGTTTCTAGGCAGTTCAGTTGAGAATTTTGAGTAACAAAATATTGTTTGAAAGTAGAATTTTTAAAGAGGAAGTCAGGTTCTTTTGAAATACAGAGTCAGTTCTGGTCTGGGGAGGATTTGACTGGGCACAGAGCAGTAAACAAACACAGTAAGCCAGCATGATCCAGCACCAATGTGAAAAGCAACAGCCCCTTCCCCATCACATATCTGTACCTCATCCTTTCCCTCCCTTGCAATGACACAGTCTTTTGTACAGCTGCTTCATGAGCCAGGTCAGGAAACAGCTTCAGATGAAAAAATCTTTTGCAGGGTTAGTTTTTTCAAGCAGGTAATTTTCCCACCAGCTCACAACACAGCCAACAGAAGTGCTTGTGTCACCACTGTGAAGAGGAAAATGAAGGGGGAAAAAGAAAAGCAAAGGTTCTCATGCAGAGCAGGGCTGCTGATTACTAAATCAGCAGCAACACCTTGCACCCATTGAAGGAGACTGTCAAAGCACATTTTTTCCTGTGCCCATACCCCTTGTTATTTGTTAAACCACATGGCAAATTAACTCACAGAGAAACATGGCCAAGAGGCTAACAGTGACACAGCCTAGCCCATTCTGACCCCTCACACACCTCTTCCTACATGCCTGAGTCCATCCCCCCCAGTTAAATAAATATTTTTAGATTTCTAGGGTCATTGGTCAAACATAGTAAGGACAGGTTTTTCAATTTTTCAAGGCCTGGAAATATCCAAGGATTGAAGCCATCTAAGTGGCCATGTTATAAGCCACCATGATATTTCAGTGGATTTTAAGTCTTCATTTGAAGCAGAAATGCAAAATAAGCTCAGTGTACAAAAAGCACGAGAAAGTCAGACTCTGCTCTTTCATTTCCATCTATCTACCCAAATTAAATTCCACCTTTTCCCACCTAAAAAAACTGATAAAAAGCTGCTTTGCTACCTCTAATACCACACCTTACCAGTTTGCACTGATGCCATAGCTCAGCTGTACTGACACTGCCAAAAGCAGCAGATTAAGGTGCAGTAGGGGAATTACCCAGTGAGTGCTGTCAGGGACAGGCAGAATCTTAACTGGGAGGTAAGAATGGAGTATGTAAAAACCAGCATACCTCACAGATGACAGGCAACTCTCTCATTCTATTATTCTACACTGACTACTGCTCCAACAGAAGCAATTTCAGCTTTATAGGTTCTTCCCCCATTTCCAATCCCAGTTTACAAATGGACCTTCTGAAACCTAGTCTTAGGTGACAGCACTTTGCTTTCCAAACAGCAGCTGTATGCCTAATCAATAAAAATTGTTTCTTGCTGCAATTAAGAGCAAATAAAAGAGCTGACTTCTGATGTATGCAATGATACCCACAGCACTATGTATATTTCTTAAATATACATAGACAGGAAAAATAGGCAAGCAAAAAAAAATCATATCCACTTCATATCTGCACACACACACACTACTGTGCAAGTGCAAATGTTTTCCCAACCATTTCTTTCACGTTATCCTTGGAAATAACAGAACACAGTTGAGGTGTTTAAACAGCAATCATCTCATTTGATTTTGTTTGGAACAACAGCATATCTTCAGAACTTTGAACTCATTCATTCCCTTTATCCAATTAAACACACTACTGTAATGACTGTAGGACTATAGAGAGATTAGTATTTAAAAAACAGTAGTAATAGTAGCTGATTTCATGATCTTGGAGATCTACAGTTCATTAAGACCCAAAGATTAAAATTATGGCTTTTGTTGTTATTTGCGAAGTTTTTACAGTCTAATATAATTACCATATTCCCATAGTAAGTTACATAGGAATACAAAGTAGCTGTGTTTTTTTCAAGGTGGCAATAGCAAATAAACGTGTATTAGGAAAATTCAATAACTAAGTCTGCAATTGTGTTTTAAGACTTCAACTGTCAGCACGAAGTGCTTTAGCTTGGAAGCAAAACAGGCCTAGAGCACTGTAGGCAGCAGTAAGAGTGATTAATGTTGCAAAATTTAAACATCTTTAGTGGACAAGAAGTTATGATGCCCAGCCTTCTAGTTCCAGCAAAACCAGCCAAGTACCTCAAATTCATTATACTGTGTTCCAAGGATCTCCAAATTAAATTTGTATTCAACAGTGCAAAAAGGAACAAAGGCAACAGCATTTTCTCCTTCCTTGTGTAAATGGAACACATGCTGGTGGACTCCCCTGCTTTGAGCAATGTTTTACTTACAATACAGAGGAACTCCACATGGCAACCTTGATTTGGATTAAATGAAGTAGGACCCCAGAGGCACGTTACAGGCTTTCAATATGCTAGGTATTGATCTGAGAAACTAAAAATGGCTTTAAGCAACACACATCTGAGAACAATTTCTCCTGAAATTATGAGACGGGATTAAAATTTGTAGTTAATATTGAAAACAACTAGTGGCAATAAAATTAAAGAAGTTTTTATTTGCCTAGGTTACTTTTCCATGGACAAAGCCTGAACAGAAGACAACAAAAATACAGTCCTCCAAAATTACAATGACTTCATCGTTCCTCCTACTTACCAGCTTCTTGAAATTTATCCAAAAGCATACTGATTAGCTGTTATACTCAGTTCAGACATCTCTTATTCATTGGTACAGCTTTAGTAAAATTTTAAACCATGACAAGTAGCTACATTTAGGTTTTTGTTGGTTTTGATTGTTTCAAAATACTGAAAAAATGATAGCCTCTAACCACGGTCCTTGGCATCCAATACATAAACACCTGACATTGATGTTAAACCAGAAACAGGTTATTATTATTTGCAGGTCCAACTTACTATTTGCAAAGGCCTGAGAATATACAGAACTCTCTTTTGCAAATTATCTTGTTGATGTTTTAGCTAGAAAGTACTGAAATAGGTAGAAATGGCTAACTTACTTGAATTTAATGTCTGACGTGTTTTGGCACTTGTGCAATATGCTTCAATGACTTTAAGAATTTGAGCATCTTCTTCTAAAGCAGCTGTACCTAGAATCAATGGGAAAACCAGAATTTTAAACATGGGCATGTTTCTTAATATAGAAAAGCCTTTGTAAATAAGTACAGTTCAGTTGAGTCCAAAGTTCAGCCTAATCAATCATTGAAAACTGTTTTAATCATACCATTTTAAAAATCAAACTTCAATGAACAAAAGTAACAAAGTCTAAAAAGTACAAAAGTAACAAAGTCTAAAAAGACAAATACTATTTTGAAATGCTTAGAAATAATTCAATTCAGAGTAACCATCCACACATTCAAGAAATTTTCTGAGCATCTGATATTGTACAGAATGTGTTTTGAAGTGTGAGGACTCTCATTCTAATCCAGTCATTTTACTGAAAAACCCCTGTATATTGAAGTTTTTATATAAACACACAATTCAATATCCATACTATTCCATTATTTTAATCAAATGATCAAGGAACAGAATACTAATTCACATAAAACATCTTGAAAACTTTTTGCATTTGTGTGTGTTTATATATATATATATGTGTGTGTGTTTGTGTACATATATATATATAAAATCATATTTACCCCCCTAACAGAACTCAGAATTAACAGCATAACTTCAGTGCAGCATGGAGAAGGGAACATGCTGCTATCATGTACATATATAAAAGTGACAACTCTAAACTATTCAGACTTCAACAGAAATAGCACTACTGAACAAAATTAACTATTCAAGCTTAACATGGCAACATTTTCCAAAAGGTAAAGCTCCACAGTGAATCTCATTGGGTGACTCAGTAAAAATAGTGTCAAATTGTTCACTGACAATAGAGTGAACCTCTACCATTATTACTTTAGTTTAAAGCAGAAGTCTATGTGCAATAAAAGTCAATTTGTTGTTTTAAAAGCATTTTTCCTCTTTTCCCCTGTGAAATAACTAGGTTTGAAGATTTCGTGCTTCATGAATCTGAGGAGCCTTCAACATCCAAATGCAGTTGTATTCTCTGCCAGCCAATGCATCCTGTTGAGTTTTGTGATTTATTATCACCAGAACAAAGCCAACTTTCCAAACATTTGTTGGGACAAGCTGGCTATTGCAGAAATTATCTTGACCCAATATAATTTTCCTACAGCTTAAGAGATGCAAGAACTCTAAAGTATGAGTTATTCCTCTTTCAAGGCAGGAAAAATAATTGGATTTTGTAGTTACAATGCAGCACCATATAATTACAGTAGCAGGGCAAATACTACACTTCTGAAATAGCATTTTGAGGGCAGTCAGTTGAAACATCTCAGTTCTTTTGTCTGTTGAAATGCTAATTTGACACAGCAGTTCTCAAAACATAGCCCATAAATCCTCTGGATTCCTGACAAGAGAAGTAACAAAACCCAGACCTCTTTACCAATGCTTTAAGTTTGACAGAAAAAGGAAACTTTTATAGCTCCACAAAAAAAAAGTTGAGAAAGTTCAAGAAACACTAACAGAAGCTTCTAATTACTGATTAGGAAAGATGAATACCAAGAATATGTAAGAAACACACCAAAAAACACCTTTCAATAAAAGTTATCAAATCAGGAGTAGAACAGTGCATTTGCAAGCTACAGACTCCTTCTTTCTCCCAAGTAAAAATCCTAAACTCCTCCCACTGTGTTCTTTAACAATTGCTAAACCTGCAAGTTGACAGCTTCTTCATCATCATTACAACTACTGAATCTCCATTCTCCAGCATCTGAAATGATACTGTAATACAGTACTTTCATTTTTCCTAAACAGACACCTTGCTGTAAGGATAAAACATCCTGAACTACAACATCCACTTGCTCATCCATGAACAGAGAATCATTCTACTCATTACCTTAACCTTTGCCACATGACATTCACAGAACATTCAGAAGGACTAACACCTCAGACAAACCAAGAGCACCCTGAGGAAAAGCTCTTTCTCGACAGCTCTATATAAGCCTGTGAGAGACAACTGCCACAATAACACTCTTCTGCACTGAACACTCATGGCACAGGCTCTTAAATAAAAGTCCATGAGAAAAAGAAAGACTCAGAGAAGCAAAGGCTACAGCAAAAATGTCTCCAATAAAACACCCTTTTATTGATACAAGTAATCTGATTATTCATCTACACACATTTCTATGAAAGAATTACAGCAACACTGACAAGTGAATACTGTGCTTGCTTGATAACATTAATGCTCCCTCCACTTTAAATTATCCCAACATCCAGTTTTTGACCTCTCTCTTTCTGTACATTACTAAGTCTCTCTCAGATCAGCATTTTTCTCCAGACTTCAGGCAGCCTAAATAGCCCTAATTTATTTAGTTACAGATACTATTCACAGGAGACAAGAGAAGACTATTGGATCCTAGGAGTAGTGATTGTGGAAGCAATTTGTCTTCAAATCAGCACCAATAACCAGCTTTCCAACACCCAGGACAGCAGAAGCTCCTACCAAGACCAACTAAAGAACACAGCTACAAAGTATTCTGCAAGAGTGGTTCAGTATCTTCACCTTGTTGCTTACAGTACTAAAAGACAGGTTTAGCTCACTGAACTTCACCTGGCTCTCTAGTGAACCTCCCTTCCTTCTGTAACAAACAGAAATAGGCACTTCACAAGCAGACACCCACTGCAGCAATCAGTAAAGCCCTACAGATGCCATCACAGCAGAAGGTGACTGTAACAAACCATCCCTGGACATACCCACCCCTCTCCCCTTACACGAGAGAGGAAACCAGATGACTTGCTCACACTGTACACCTAACTCTTACAGAAATTAAACTGATGTTAATTCCAGTCTTTGTGTTATGCAGATATTTGCTCAAGTCTCTCTTACTTTTTCTCAGTGCAAACTCTTCATCCGATGGCTTCCTCTCTGGCTTGCGTTTGGGAAGCAGCTTTTTCATGGTTTTAGGGCTTTTACTGAGATCCTGTACAGGAAAAATAAAAAATAGAACTTCTAGACAGTATTTCAAAAATTTAACTTCTAAGATGCATGCAGGAATTACTAACTAAAACCTTTTCAACAGCACCAAAATTCAGTTTAGTAATATTTTTTGCCATGTTCAATTCACTTGAATTGGTTGATTTCCTCTCTACCCTTCCTCCAACTATACACTAAGCCAAGTATTTTATCTGTTCTATTAACAGAAATATACATAAAACCTGCTGCAAAGGCATTCAGCCTGTTTGGGAGCTAGAGTGAAGAGAAGAGGCAGGAATATTTCCTGAACAGCTGAAGAGACAACCCATTTCACTTGTCTACTGGGAAGCAAGTAAAAGAGGGACCTAACAAGGAAGCTTGGCAGATAGCACACTCTTCAAAGCCCAAATTTGTAAAAGTCTAGGTCTATTTTTACAGAGGTCTACAGGAAAAAAAAAAACAAAACCAACACAACAAACAAACAAAACCACAAACAAACAGGAAACCCAGCAGCATTTCTGCTCAAAATGTGGTCATGGTAATTTACAGAAATAATACTAAGTTTCATGAACAAAAGGAAGATGCTGATCTACCCTTTACCTTAAGGATACAATACACGTTCTGTGGAAACACAGAACAAGAAAGTAAAAAGGTGACTGAGCAGGACCTACCAAAGTTGATCAAGACAGGTTTTGGATGTTATTATAGGCTAAACAGTATAAGGATTATTGAAATTTTAATACATTGGAGAATTTAGTGGCTTACACATGAAAGCATAGAAGGATTTCAAGTTAAATTACACAATATGCATATAGTACAGCCAAACAGAAGATTCTCTTACAGCAGCAAAGTTTCAATACAAATCGTGCACTGCAGATCAACTCTCACTTATTTCCTTTTGTTTACGAGATTTACAAAGTCACATACACACAGCCACTACAAAAAATTAAAACTTCCCACTGCAGGCCTGCCACACTGTGCTGTTCCTGGCTGCTGGCCCTCACTCACCTCTTTGTAGCAGAGAGCAGCTGAAGGGCGCAGCGGAGGGGCCGGCCGCAGGCAGCTCAGGCTCCAGGGCTTGGGCGTTTTGGGAGGTTCCAGGGGCCCCCAGTTGATTGTGGTGTGTGGGGTCCCATGATGGGAGGGATGAGGGAGAGTGTGGTAGGCAGGAGTCAGTGGTATTGGCTTGCTGTCTGAATGCTTGCTGGAGGGAGTCACTGGGTGGGAAGGAAGCTGTCAAACACGATGGGAAAGGAAAGGAGGAATATTATCATAATGGAGACATGGTGTCATCAAGGACTGGTGAAATAATCCCACTTACTATAGAATTCTTGTTTATTACAGCTGGCCTTCAGAAAAATTTACACTAAATCATTTTTTGGAAAAAAGAAGCTTAATTTTTTTTTATTGTCTACCATAGACAGAGCACAAACTAAAGATAGAACAGCTACAAGCAGCCCTGCTCCCACTTCTCTCACCACTAAGGGTGGAGCTAAATTTAGAACCATTCATATCCAACAATTCAAATGCAGAGCCCAAAAGAAATTACTGTTTCTCCACAGCCTGTCAAGTACATCACCAATTACAACCTACTGTTCTAAGTATACTTAAAAGATGGTGATGTAGGCACTTGGTCAAAACAGAAAAAGTAATGATAACGAACTTTCTTTCACCCCAGTTAACTGTTACACTGAGTTTTAAGCATTTTATTCTTTGTTCACACAATTAAAAACAGAATTATCTTTTTACCTATTAAATACAGTGACAAAATTCAGTTCTTGTTACTAATGGCTAAAAGAAAAAAAGGCTTTCCATGGTGTTATATTTGCCAGACAATCTAATTATAACCTATTTCTACTCATTAATTTCTTACCGTGTGAGATGGCACAGAGTGAGGTTTAATGGTGGGATTCCCAACAGTTGTGACTTTGGTTTGCTTCTGCAGGTGATCCACCCATTCATGCAAATCTTGTTGGTTGTTACAAGACACTAATATCCTTTCAATCATATTTCCTAGGTAATAGACACCAGAGAGACACAGGAAATGAAAAAATAACAGTTTAGTCAATCTGACATGATTAAAAAGATACATATTTCTTAAAACATAATGTCCTCTCAATACTAAGCAAAAATTTGAACCATATTTTCAGTACAAGAGCATCCCACTTTTCCAGGTTGTAACACACATCGCCTCCATGTATTTATTCTTAGCCGAGCACAGGAGTTCTACTTTTTTCCCCTAACTCTAGTAATTTAGCACAACCTTAAATGACAAGAGTAGGACACAGGCTCATTTACTAGCCTTATGCTTCTCCATCCTCCCCAGCAAAGCCAGCACATAGCCTAAAATGTCATTCTTGAGTCTGTACACTACAACACAGGGAAAGTTATAAAATAAAAGTTCACCAATCTTCTCTCAGAAGAAGGCATAAAATTAAAGCTAAGGCAAAAGTCACTTGGGAATATAATGACAACCAAAGATAACTTTCACTTCTGCACTTGACACCATTTAACCCATTGCATTCCCCTTGAGGTCAGCTTCATAGCTATTATCACAAAAAAGTAATTTTTTCTCAATATAAACAATTTTTTCCCCTGCAAGTCATGGCATTGATATCATACCTGAGACAGTCAAAATTAGTTTCTTTAAATGCAACCTGCTTGGATGTAGAAGTGATCCAGGAAATTAATGAAGATACAAAACTCCACAATGGGGACCTTGCACTGTCCTTTAAATTGTCTCAGGACATACATGATGAAATGAATGACTAAACAGAAATTACCTATAAGCACAATGGCAACAATCATTAACATCAGAGATGCTAAAGAAGCATCTTGTTTTCTCAGAAAGAGGTGGAAAATTTCTAGAAGAAAAATCTTGCTCAAAGCTCTTCCAGAGCCTCTTGAATTCTTATTCTTTCAGTAAATAGTATACTTGGAACTGCTTCATCACAAAAAATCTTCTCCAAGGCTACTGCCTTCGTTCATTAAGATACAGAAATTCCAGGATGATTCCCATGCAAAGAGCTCCTTAACTGCTTAAGAGAAGCAGTAAAAAGCAGCCTTCAGGTGATGCTCTGGGTAGCTGTGTTACAAAGCCTGAAGAACCACAGATGGCTGAGGCTGTAAGGGACCTCTGTAGGTCCCCACTGCTCAAGCACAGCACCTGGAGCTGTTTGCCTGAGATCGTGGCCAGGGAACTTTCCAGTACCTCCAAGGACAGCCATCTCCCCAGGCACCCTGTGCCAGTGCTTGGTCACCCTCACAATAAAAAGTGTTTTCCTCTGTTCAGAGTGAGCATATGATGTTTGAAACAGTACATGCTGGAATAACTAGCAAATAAAAACACTAATGGGCAATACCTGATATTTCAAATGCATTTTTATGGTTTTCACTGTCTTCTAGCTTTGTAATAGTCATTCCTGTCATAGGCAGTTTTCCCTTAAAAAGAAAAACATAACATCAACATTAAATACAAAATACATAAAAGCATTACCAATTAAAGAAAATACTAACTTTAAGCTCTGAAAAAAGATACTCCCAGTAAATTGACATACACCCCACTGGGTTTAAAAACATTCAAAAATCCATACAAACACCTCACAATGGGAGTTTTTCATATGTCCAACTTCTGCAAATGACATCTGTGATGTCAGTAAGTCTAGCTGATACCTACTCAGGCTACAAAATCCATACAAACACAACAGTGATCATTCCTCAGTCTCGGGTTCTTGAAACTGAGACCTTCAGGATCATATTACATGACAACAGTGAGAGGCAACACTGACTCTTCTTTAGGCACATTTGTTTGCAAACTGTCTTATTAGCTCCCAGAATAAGGTCTGTAGAACAAGTACATTTATAAAGGAGTATTTCACTAAATAAATGCATCAATTATTTACTGAAGATTTATTTCTCTAATAAAGCCACTATTAAATCCCCTCGTTGAAATAGTTGGAGGGGAAAAAAAAGCAGTGAACATCTTCAAATTTGTAAGTTTTCTTCAGAAGAACATACTAATTTTTCAGGAGATCCCATTTTGAGCAGGGAAAAAAGAAGTCAGTTTAGGATAACTTTTTGACCTTTTAGAAATGAATAAATAAAATTGAGTGGTTTTGGGATGAAAGGCTTTACTGAAAATGAAACTTCAAGAAAAGTTCTTTAAGACATCCTGTATTCTCCTGCACAGAAACACTATTCAGCAAATACTGGCAAAAGCACAAATACTATGTACTGTGGAATTTTGGCTCCAACACAGCAGAAAGAATAAAAACCAACTTTATGTTTTCCTCTTTTCTAAAGACAGCAGAATGGACAAAGATTTCTTAGAAGCTTGAAAACAAAAAATCACTTGGTATTCTGTAGGCACAGAGCATGCTCAGGCCCAAGACACCAAAGAGAAAGGAGGAGTTCTCTTGTGGCAGCTTCCCCCCATGAAGGAAACATGGTGGCCATGTACATGATTAAATGCAGCTAAAATTTGCTCTTTTGCCTTTTTTCCCGTTTGCTGGTTCATGAATAGCACAGCATAAAACCACAACAAGAAGATGTGCAAGAACTGCTGACACAGGTGGGGAGGCAACATAGGGGTGCAGTGGTGACAGAGATCACCTGAACCACAGGGGAAGAACAAGTACAAAGTCATCAAAACAGAAAACTGAAGTGAACTTGTGAATCATTTGTATTTCCCTTCTTTTAACAAACAATTGTGCAGCCCTCCGAAGAAGTATGGTCCTTGCTCCTTGTGACTTCAGCTTAGCACTGCTAAAAGTTCTTCCCCTTAGCTCCTGTGGTAGATATCAGCACTATCAAGCAGAAAATCTTGAAGCCTGACAACAACTGGGCTATTCAGAAATGCAGGGAAGGTGTTACGTAGGATGATGCCTCCAGTGGTATAATTTCCTTGAGAAAGACTGGGAGAACTGCATCATCTTCTGCCCATATCCATTCCAGTTCTGAGATGTGAACCTCAGAAAAAATGTCCAGGAGGCCCCCATTATGCTCTCTAGACATGGGCTCTAATCAACTCTCTCAGACACAAACAGTGATGAAATAATTTCACCTTGCTGTGAACATGTAGTCATTAAAATCTGAGACATTCTCAGTGCTGGGACTATCACACATAAGGTTGTGAGGAAATAAAGAGCTTTGCTTTCAAGAGATGGTTGGGTAGTGAACACCAAGAAAGGGCTGTGGCCATTCTGAGTAGAAGCTAAAGACATACCACAGAAAATGGCTTATTTATTTATTTATTCAACAATGCTGTACATCTAGGGGATAAAGTAAGCAGGAAAAAGAAGAAATGCAAGTGATAGAGGAAAAATAAAGCTTGATGGACTCTTTAATTTCATGTTGCTTGTTAACATAGTAAATTTCCAGTCAGCTGCTTTGTAATTAGTACAGAAGACTCTATCCTCACCAGAAATTCTGTCTGTACCACTTGGAACACAGACCTAACCTGCCTTTTCTACCATCTTTTTCCATCAACATTGGATAATTAGCAGTGCCACAAACTTAACAAACTGGACTGGCCACTTGAACCACCTAATGCAGCAGCATTTCAGACAAATCCATCTACAAGTGTGGCAGGTAGGGTACGAACCCAAACACAAATGTTGGAATTTAATTGCTCTTAATTAAAAAAAAAAAAGTAGTAACATTCTGTGACTGACTGTGGCTGATCATGTAGGAACACCCAATGACCAACCTTTAGCATTCCTTTGAAGCAGGCAAATCACTGCTCAGGAGAAAGGAATTAACTGTTCAAGTGTCTGTTTTACAAAAGCATTTCTAGTAGGTGAAATCTCTGTCTCCTTTTAGAACTTGGTTGTAGTTTTTTCCTGTGTTTTGGCATTTAACTATGATGCCCCAAACCCACATGGCATTATTTGAACATTTACAAGACTTGGGAAGTCAGGGTTTGTACATTTGCCTCTCTCAGGAGTCTTTGCAACTATATACCCAAGATGCAAGTGTTTTTGTGAAACACAGCCTAGAGCCCAGACAAATGGCACTCCCGCACCTCAGCACTTGTTCCACCTCTGGAACAGGCCTGTGGGACAACAGCCACAAGTGCTCAGCTAGGAGACTTGGGAGACAGCTCAAAGACTCTGTCTGCCAGCTGTGAGCAGAGAATTTGTGAAGTGAAACACCTGGTGCTAAGGTCCCTAGGGCCACCTTGTAGCATTTCAGGTGCTGTTACCCTGGGGAGCCTGAGGCTGGGGCCAGGGACTGAAGGTCAGTCCATGTACTTGGTATTTTCCCATAGTTAGAGCATCTCAAGTGTACATTTGGAGCATGACTTCAACTTCATCCAGATGGAATCTAGTCTGTGAGCCCCAAAGCAACTCCTACTCTGTGACTCAGTGCTCATTAAACAGAAAAAACTAGAAGATGAATTTTGAAAGCGTGCCACCAATTCCAAGATAACACACAAATGTGGATGCATCCAAACAAACTGATGGCAACAGCCCCATTCACACTAATGGAAGGATAAGGGGGCTGTGCAATTTTGTTGAGTCTCAAGCAGCAAAGAGCACTAACAAACCCATGCAGCAACACTGGTTTCCCAACAGATCTAAAAAGCTCCCAATACTTCCTCTCATCAGTTGCTACTAACAAAGTAAAAAGAACAATGTCTCCTTGGTGATAGACACAGCTACAAAGAAAATCAAACCCTGGGCTTCTAGGGTTTTTCATAAGACAGATGATCACTTCTTATTGCAGATATTACCTTCCATCTTTATAAATGCAAAAGATTAATAATCCTTCCAAGTTTCTTATGAAATATCATCTGGAAAGAACACAACTCCCAACACATTTTTACACATGTAAATGTATTACTTTACCTGATAGATAAAGCCACTCATTCTTGGGCTGGCAGACAACATTAGCAAAATGTTAGGGAAGAGAAGAAGATACCTTTCATTCTTTTCCTTGTTAAAAAAAAGAAAATGAAAAAGTAAATACACCATCACAAGTCCCCTCTCCCATTTTTCTATTACTAAAAGCTCTCAGCATTATAACTGGGTGATTACTCCACAAATATTTGCTCAGTGCAAAACTATTTCTCCATTGTATTTAAAAAAAGAAAAGAAAAAGGAAAAAAAAAAGTAAATAAGTAGACAGAATTACTTATTTTCCATTTGAAAAGTGCTACTAACACATGCCTATCTTTTTCCAGCAGATTACAGCCTTGTATTTTAAAACAGGAATTTTACATTCTGGGTGAAATACTGACCTTGCTTAATATGATAACAACTGTGTGGCCAATTTCAGTAAAACCAAAATTACATACTGGATCTATTTCTTCCTATAATTTAGATGGATACTGTTACAGTCATATCAAGACTGTGGTCTCTCAAATTAGAGATCAGATTTTTAAACAGTGGATTATGCCCAGAGGCAGAAAAAGCAAAGGAATAATTAGTATAGTCACAACAAAAGCACTCATTACTTTGTTCTGGTTTTAATTTTCTGGTTTCATGTACAAAGTTATCCACTGTGGTTTTGTTTTAGGGTATTTTTATGGAAAGAGGAATAAGTTTACTCTGAATCTACTGCTATAGACAACAAAAGGGAGAAGCATTAAAGTGTCATATTGTAATGACAACATAAGTATATCAACTGACAAAGCCACCATCCTAATTTCAAGCATCTTCACAAAATTACAAGTCCTTAGCAGGTTTTAATGTTTTTAAGTAAACATTTGCAAATATCTGTATCATTTTTAGAAAGGCAAAACCAAACCCAGTTGCTGTTGCACAAATGAAGCTGTCCTGTATCTTGCCAAAAAGCTGTGATGCTAAACAGAAACTTCTAGAAGTCAATTACATTTGACATTTTACCCATGATGACAGTGGGGGATGGTGATTTGTTTTGCTGGCTTAAAAAAGAGACATGACTGCAAAAGATGCACTATCAGCTCTACTGAGTCTTATTTGTTTACTTTAACACCTAACAAAATATCTGAGAGAAAAATATCAAGTGACTAACTTCTAAATATTCAGTTGCATAAACACTTTACTTTTTCTTCATATTTATGGACTTCTTTGTTCTAAGGGAGGAAATGGACTGAATGAGGTTGCAATTCAAAAGCCCTCATCAGATTCAAAGTCTCATTGATTTTTCAGGAGAACAACAAGCAATAAAAACATGTCAGTAACCTGTATAACATTATTTTTCTGTTAGCACTTGCTTTTAAGAATTTTAACATTGGTTCTGGTAGGACAAGTTTTTCTTTACATTTTATTTGCTGCTTTGGTTAGGAAAAAAAAATCACCAGACTTTGTCACTTTTAACCTTCTAATGTATCTCCTTATTCTATTTCTCAAGGAGCATTTGGTTCTCAAGCTTGTATTTCAAGATTTACTACTTGAGCAACGTGCCCATAACAGCCAAAAAAGTTTGTGTCAGACACCTCACAACATAAAACTTTAAACCTTTTGCTGTTTAAAACACACTCTATGCACAATGAACCTGTAACATAACAACACATGGTAAATCTTGTTCAATTATGCCCTCTGAAAAAAGCCCTTCAAAAATCTTACAATATTTATTACTGCTGTATTTAGTCACTTTTCAGTAAATTTTACAGAAGAGACCATCCATCTTCAAGGAATTTTATTTCAGGTTTTGTAAAAAAATGCCTTAAATCAACACAAAGATTTTAGCTTAGATGACCATCTCTGAATCGCTCTCTTTATTTCTGCTGTGTAATGATTATAATGAATTTCATTCAAAATTGGAAGAGTGAGAGTAAAGATGAGAAGGACATTACCTCACTCCCAGCACACTGGATCATGACTTGGGACATGTAAATCACATTGCCAAGTGTTTTGATGTCCTCTCCCTCCCAACAACGAATAGCTTCTGTCAGGATTTGCAGTTCAAGCTCTTTCCGTTTCCGTACTTCTTGACATTGTGCCTAACAAACACAGGGAAAACAATCTCTATAAACTCTACCAGTTTGGAATGGGTTAAGGGTAGAAATACCACCACAGTTGTATTTACTGCTGCTGTGCTTGCAATGCACAGAAGACAGCATTTTCATTTAGTTGTCTGCTATCAATATTTTTTATAAACTAGTTTTACTAAATTAAATATTACAGCGTTTCAACACACTGATTTCAATTACCATTCCAAATTCAGTAATAGCTCTGTTACTTTATTTTCTCCTTCCTTTATACTTCAAATTTTGGTATGACTAACCAAAAATGGACTTGCTCAGTAGCAAAGAGTAACACAGCTGTCGGAAATACACATCTATACAACAAAGAATCTTTCAGTAAGAAGAGACATGCCACCTGTGCAAACCTGAGTGTTTATAACTTTGTGTTCCTACTTTAATTAACACCAACCTGCTCATGTTATTTGAATTTTTCTCAACAGAAAATTCTGTTGAGAAATTTTCTCAGTTGTTTTCTCTTGCTTTTATAGCACTCAACAGGATGTAATTCACAAACCTCTTCTAAACACTGATAACACTAAATTTCTAATTTAAAAAATAAAGATTTTCCGGTTATCATCAGCATACATTCCTAAAAGGAAGCACAACACATTAAGTTTCTTATAACTGAGACAGCATTAATCATTGCTTGTTGCAGTTGAGGCATAGTTTTTCATTTTTTTTGTAAAGATAGTAGCTTATCTGTTCTTCCTGTTCCAATTATTACTAGAAGTTTGGCATCTTCTGAACTTCACTAGCACTTTTCTCTTCTAACTCTCTCACATTCATAGCCATTTCCTGAGAAGGAAGGCACGTAGAAAAAAAATCAGAACATGTACTCATTTATTGTAAAGAAGCCCTTCTTCAGGACAGACAGAGAGGGCAGACAAAGAGGTGCAGAACACTTTGCACAACTCTGATACCAATAGTCTACTTACTACAGCTCCCCAGCAAATTACCATCCTTAGCTCTGACTACATACAGCATTGATTTCCAGCCTTTAAAAAACTTATTACACATTTATGAAAAAGTTTCACTCTTTTAAGCAATAAAGGAAGACGTAATTAGAAAGCATCCTACTTAAAATATATAATCCATTCTTTAATCACTCTTACAGAAAGATTTTTGAAGGCAGTCATGGATTTTTGAATATCGGGACGATCCGGATGATAATCCTAAAAAAAAATGGAGAAAACATATATCAAAGGTTCAGTTCTAGCAAAATTAATTTTGAAAACCAGTAGAGGCTTAAAACCAAATAAACAATTCTGCAAAATTGAAGTTGTAGACTGATCTAGTCTCTTCGTGGCCTTCTTATATCAAACACTGGTGGGTCTGGCTTGTAGTAACACTTCAGTTACTTAGCACAATGCTAGCTATACTTAAAATAGAGCCAAAGAAGTTTTACAAGACCTGGTGGATAAGAGATTTTGAAATCTCAAGGGGAAAGTGTTAACAGAGTTTTGTTTAGCAGGTTAGCTTTGTCACAAAGGTGATTTCCTATAGACTATCTAGCATGTTCTGCTGTCACTGGCTGGCAAACCAATCTATGTGACAAGATCCCCACACTTTCTATTTCTCTCTTTTTTTCCCACTCCAAACATACAACCTATAAAATGAAAAGGTGAAAAGAGTAGGTCCTCAAGGACCTTCTTGTCCTGTAAAGATCACTTTTGGACAGTGCTCACTAGAAGTCAGAGGGACTATTTGCCAATGTGTTCGGCATACTGAGGTGAAAAGCAGCACTCCCTCTGCAAGATAAAGTGGCCTCAAGTAGTGTGCAGGGGACACATTCAATGTCAAGTCAACTGAGGACCCTGGTAAGACTATCCTAGGAATGATGATTACCTTTTCTGGATAGTTTTACTTTAAATGTTTATCTTCTACAGGAAGTTCTACTGCACTGACTTTTACATAAACCACTGCAGCCTGTAGTTTAGAAGGCTGACTGAAGAGCAAGCAAATGCAATTTTGGGTCCCATCATGTTTGACATGTACCTTTAAAATAATTGTTGTCAAATCATCATTAAGCTGGAACATAAATGCTGATAAGATATACCTCCATGTGCCTTTCAAGTTCTTTGAGTAACGTGGGGTATTTATCCAGACGCATAAAAGGTTTGCTGAGGCCCGTGGTCAGCACAAGGATCCCAGGGCTGTTTGCACCTTTCATCTCCATGAATTCTCCTAGTTCCTCACTGTGTACACAAGATATTTAAGCAAATTAAGATTAAATTATCACAACAAATAAATTACATAGGATTCACAATTTAATCTTTCACCTGCAATGAAGTATACCAATAAAACAGGAGGCCAAATAAAAAATTAATTTGAGTATAACTTAAGTGCTGTGACCAGTTTGTGTATTAAACAAAATACAGGAACAAAGCCATGTGCAGATTTGGGACCTAACCAGGGAAAAACACACATGGGAACAAATCTACTGTTCTAGACAACTAGTGCTCAAAGACAGTTCCTAAATGCTGCACCATTCAAGCAACAATTACAGAATAAAGCTCTATTTTATTACTCAGCTCTTTATTCTAGTAAAATGACCTTAGAGGTAGTTTACACAATACACAAATAAGAGTCAAATGTTTCATATACAATTTAAAAAAACAGGTATTTTTATGGTGTCAGGCACTAAGAAGAAGACAGAAATTTCCAGAAGTTTTTTTTCTCTTGCACGTACATGTTTAATGACCTCATCTCACATCCAAGATGTTAATGCAAAAAAATTACCAACATTGATACAAATGGTAGAAATAATCACCGTGCAGTATATTCTCTAATGAGCTAGGGTTTCATTAAGTGTGGACTCACACAACACATTTCTTTTCACAGCAAAGCCACTGTAAGAAATCCATTCTCTCCATGTATCATGAATTGCTACTTCCCCTCTCCAGATATTTTTTTAATTATTTGAGTAATTCAGAACTGGCCCAGCCCCTCAACTTTTACAGCAACTCAGTTAAAACACCAGAACTGAGAATTTCAGCTCCCTTTGCCATCAAGGAAACAAAATAGCTACATCTTCTGCTTACAATGCAGATATTTTAAAGGACTATGGTGGAGGAGGACTAGCTTTTCAAGAGTTTAAATCACCAAGAACAAAATGAGCCCTCTCCATTCATAATGGAAGATACAGCAGCATCTGGGCTGATTGCCAGGCTTCATAAAATACAAGTTGCAAAAGAACACAGAATTCTAAAGGCAAAAATCTATGTTAAAAAAAATACAGAAAGTAATTTATTAAAAATGTAACATCTTACTGCATTCAAGGCACACACACACTCCTTCCCATTGCAGAACAAGTGACACTGATTATTCATGTCATTTGTCCAAGTAGATGTCGTGAAGACAGAACAAGAACACAAATATGGTGCTTAGGGGCGGGTTTACTGGCAGATTTGGAAGTGCTGGGTTAACAGTTGGATTTTATCTTAAAAGTCTTTTTCAACCTAAATGATTCCATAGTTCTATGAGCTGTGACCTTCCCATCCCAATCTAAGTGCTCTACCCACCATCCCACCTGGATCCTTCACCCCTCATACACCTAGTTTCCCCCAGCTCACAGAAAAGAAGGTACTTTTCCATACAGTTTACTCCAAGTTTACTTGTCTTCGGATTAGCTACTTAGAATTTACTTGCACTACACCTTGCTTATGTATAGCCAGCACTGTTTCTGAATTGTCAGGTCCATCATCATTTTACACCACCACTTGCAAGAGCTTTCTGTCCCCACTCTAAGAAGGCCCACGCTCTCCTCAGTCTATGTATTTGTGCCATTTCAGCTGCGTTTAACTACAGAGTGCAAAAAGAGGGTGAGGGGATTTCTCAACATCTGCTGTGCATTTTAAAGATGCAAAGAGAAGAGCTGGACACACTTGGGAAAGACCTTGCATCCCTCTTAAACAGGATATATCAGCAACTTCAGGCCTTCTAAATCAGCTTATGACATAAACAGGTTTTAGCCAAAATTAAAACACCTTGAAAAACTTCCTACAATACCTTGCATGAAGTGTTATAATAATGCAACACAGATGAACCCGAGTACTTTTGAGCTTAAATTTAAATTTAACTGAGGCTGGCCAGCTCTGAATACATAGAGGCTGAAGACCTATTTTGTGTAATGCTTCCTTGATCACAGCCCTTGCTTAGCATAAAATCACACCACTTCAGAACTTGACCAAAACAAAACTACAAATTTTGACTTGTAACTGTGTCTTGGGTTTACCACTTCCTGGTCAAGTATTCAGGGTAATTCCCTGAAACATCAGGCTTCCTGGCTACAGTGGTGTCACCTGCTCTCCTCCTGACTCAGTTAAAAGAAACTGTTTCCAGTAAGTAATAAAGGTATGACACCCAGTTTACACAGGAAGCTTTACCAAAGTTCACCAGGAAAGCCCTTCTGTCCCACAGCACTCATTGGTTTTAAATTTCAATTCCCTATGTGCGTGACACTGATCATGTGCAAGTCATTGCTTTTCTGTTTTATCCATTCATTGCACCTGTAATCAGCCCTACCCATTTCAGCATCATAAAGTCAGGTTACACACAGTACTTGATACTTCATCTTCTTAACGTTAAAGATATTTCCTACAAGAACCAAGAGGAAGTAGCTGTTTAAATTCATTCTTTGCATTTTGTTTGCTTCAGTCAGACACAGCTCCTGCTGCCTCATTCTACCAATTCTGCCCTTTTACAGTATCTACTACTCTTCCCCATTTCAGGCAGCACAATCCATAAGTGTAATACACAGATTCTCTCACCCCTACAAAGCTGCACTTCCACAGGATGTGCCAATCTCAAATACCACAGGCTACTCAATTTAACAGTGCTCTGAACAGCCCTCATTTTTGCCCTGAGACTGCTAAGGGGCAAAACCCCCCATTCCTACTTACTTCAGCCATCTCCATACTGTTGAGTGCATACAAATGCTTTATAGAAATAGTATTTGCTAAGCTATCCACTCAGAAAATGTACAGACTTCCCCCTCCCCCTTTTTTTTTTAATGCTTTTACTGTAGGAGAAACTTTGGTTACTGTTTCACTGGTTTTGGTTCTAGTTTTCATTATCATTTTTCCATTTGTTCAACTTCAGCATTATGAAATACATGCGAAAAAGCAGGGGAAAATTTACTGTAACTTGAATTAAGAATGACTTCTTGGAAACCTGAAATAAAAAGCTGGCATTATCTTGTTTTCACTGTCTACTCTGCAACCGCTTTAACTAAACAAACTCAGTTACACCATTCTCCGCTCAAGTGACACTTGGCGCTGATCATCACCTTTTTTACTTAATCACAATATAGAAATCTATGGAGCAAGTTTAAACCTCAGCTCACCTGAAACATACACAAAGTCCTGAAAAACAGGCTTAGCAATGGCATCAACAGGGAGCAGTGTTAATAGGTGTAATTAAAACTGAATGACGAAGTTTTCCTCCCAACATTCCCAAGAGGACAATGTTTTCTTTCATACACTTCTACACTTCCCTCTTACAAGTTTTGACATGTCTGCTTGTTCAAGCTCTAGTCTGAACACAGCACACACTCCTTTAATACAATAGTACCCAAAATTTCGTCTGAGCAGTTCCATCATACAGACCACTGTAGCATTCCACTCATGCTTACCAACCCAGCATCTCTGCAGCTTTGTGGATATAAAATATCCATCAAAATGCGGATGTTACTTTAGCTCAAAGCTTAAAGTGAGTCTCTTTCATTTAGTCACAAAAGACAAATAGCATACAGGACATAATGGAAGGGTTTACTTTTACTTTCAAAAACATAAGAGGGGGTTAAAATACTGTTCGAACATGACAACAGCTCACAACTGTTTTATAATTAATTGCAACATAAAAAAGTCTGTGTCAGCTGCTTTGCCAAAGACAATGGCTCTTTCATGTCACAATTTCAACTGATGCCTGCAAGTCTCCTAGGCAGTATGTGCTAAATGAAACTGCAGCCCACAGTTAAGAGTATGTTTTAATAAAAAGCTATCATTTAGCTGAACAGGAAAATCTTTTGAACAGTGAAATCATCAACTCAGTCACAACTGCCTAAGCAAGTAGCTTTTCAGAAAGAGGCAGATGAGACTAATTCACTACTCACATCACTTTACACAATAAAATGCAGAGAAGCATACAAAAGTCCTGTGCTTCATTTATTCTGAAATGTCAACCTGAAGAGTTCTCCCCACTCCAGACTGGAGTTGGTTCTCATGCTGTTGAGATATTTTAAAGGTCACCATGAAAACTGTCTTTAAGCCTTACTAATATATTCAAATCCTTCTCGGAACAGCTGCCTCAAAAGCTACAAATCACACTGGAAGAGGGAAGAAAACAAAGTTCAGATGTGCCTACAAGTAACAGAAGAAAGGGAGAAAAAAAAAAAAGGTCATTGAACCTTGAGGAAAGCAGATCCAGGAACTAAAACTGCAAACATTTAAAATCACAACTTACACTTCTGAAGGAGGTCTCTGTTTGTAATAGATGGAGCACGAGCTATCACTGCTGAGGGGTCTGAGGACTGCACACAGGCACCGCATTTTGAGAGCGTCGTGACACAGCTCAGCTCAGCAACCCCTGTGCTGCAGCTTTTGATTTCCTAGGGCTACACTTGCCAGCCCAGCTCCTCTCCCAGAGACTGCTGCTCGGCGTATGACATCAGCCTGCACACTTGCAGGCTCAGGGATCCACCAAAGTGGGGGAAGCACAAAGAGTTTTCTGACTCAAGCTGATCTGTATTCCACGCTCCAGTTACTCAGAGTAATTGTCATGCTCCAGCTCCACAAATTTTATCCAGACTGCTAGGTCTGTGATGCAAGTGTAGAATATGTTTGGGACATGTTATCTCAGAGAACAGAAGAATCTAGCAAAATTAATGTTTCAACAAGTAAAGATTTGTGCATAGCTTTCTTGCTGCTGAGAATTGGCTTGGTATTTGCCACTTCGCAATATTAAAAAAAAAAGTGCAGGTGTGTGTTAGTAATTTTCAACTGCCTTTTCATCAAATTAAATTTTCTTCTGGTAAGATTTTTCTTCTGTTTTAAAATAAATATACTGCTGTTTAAACAAAGTAAAAAAGTTGAACACCCCACTCTACCCCTCCAAAATTACATACCTGATGCTGGTTATTGGGTCTGTACTGTCCATATTTCCTCAAAAGAATTTTTTGTCCACTGATCAGTGGAGCCTGTTACACTTGTTTTTTTAAATTATGTTCTCAAAACTCCAGTTAATCCCCTACTGAAATATCTTTCCTCTTGTCATTTTTGGATATAGTCCATTGGAAGTCCCAGTCCTAGCTTCTGCCTGCTCTCTTTTTCCTTTTTGCTAGACTTTCTTGTTGCACTGAACTTTGTTGCTTGTGATCTTTTCCAGCTAGGTAACATTTCATGTTCCTGACAGTCCTCATCCTGCTCCAATTACCCATTTCTGTACTTTGTATCCAACTGGGCATTTTAATCTGCAGGACATTCACTCTTTCACACCTTCAGTTGCTCGTTCTGTTACTCCTCTTACTGGAAGGCAAGCACATGTTTGTGATCAGAAGCACACACAGGAACAGTACTAGTTTGACTAAACTCTACACCCTCAAGGCACTACTGGTCTCACCAGCAAGCAAAACTATCTCCTAAAATAATACCATATATTGGAATACCTACCCTTAGATGTGAACTGGCATCTTCAAGCAAAACTAAACCTGATACCATGGAGCCAAAAAGCTGGGACTGTTGTGGAATAAAGTAAATAAAATAGGGATTGTGTACAGCGGCACCACAGCCACTCTGAGAAGGGAACATGGAAAACTCTGGGCTCTGCCAGAGCACCACCCAACTGTACCTGGCAAACTCCACCTCTTCAGCTCTAGCCAGTGGCTTAAGAGTCAATTACGAGATACAATGACAGATCTGAGGAAAAATTATTTAATCCTTCAAAAACCTTGATTCATTAAGCAGAAGGAATTAAAACTCTGGAAAAAAAAGTATGCAATAGCTCCAAAACAATTCCTGAGACAAAAAGGTATCTACCAAATTTGAAGACAGCATAAAATCGGAGAAATTATTTTCTATGCAAACTTTAACATCTGGATAAAACTTATAAAGCTACAACTGGAACCAAGAAAAGAATCTGTTCCCAAACTTAACAGAAAGATTTTGTTGTTGCTGTAATTATCAGAGGAAAATACACCTTCAGAAACACATAGCTCTGGAACCTGAACTCGTGTATGGGTTGCATTAGGCTTTATTCCCCTTTCTTTATGTTCACACACACTCAGGTCTCCAATGACTTTAATAGTCTTTTAATAGTCTGACTATTAATAATTTAACTTAATGAAATGAAAGGTGCTTGTGGCTTTGAAGATTTGAACATGATAAATGTCATATTCTTGAGATAACATGATTGACTCCCTTCAGCCCAGACTGTGTATTTACATAAACATGCACATACATACATGAACATACATGCACACACAAACCCTTATTCTGCGTTAACTGAATGAAAGCCCTCATGTTGCTGCTGCATATGATCAAGAAGTGAATGACAAAAGATAAAGTGGAAACAGATTTGCATTCATACTGGATGGCATTTAAAAGAAAGGGAAAAATAAGACAGTTGAATGCCCCTTTTACATCTCCAACCCCATCCCTAGGACTGCTATTTAGAACCTAATTCACAAGAATGCTATTCAAAATAAGTGTCTTGAAGTGCACAGTAATTCTGAGCACATTAATATAATGTTTTACCTGTACATACACACAGAGACTTTACAAGGTGCCAACACCATTTTAACAGGTCTTACAAGACTGCTTGAAGAGCACCATTGATAGCTCAGAAAATGACATGTAAAACCCCCACTACCAAACCAGACAACTGCTTACAATTTTAATTTAAGTTATCCAGTCACTCTGAAGAAAATACAGTTAATGCTTTAGCTAATTTCCTTAAAGCTATTTTTAGCCAGTGACAGTAAAAAAACCACTAATAAAAGTCATATTTTTTTTAAAAAATGTAAAAATCTGCATCTAGAGCAATTATCTTGGAGATATTTTTTGTTGTTGGTATGGGCTCCCAGAAAAACAAGTGTGCTAATAAACTAAGAAGAAAATACTAATTTTGTGATATAAGAATCTGATATTTGTAGGGTTTTTCATAAAAAGGCTTTCAGAGGTATAGTAATAGTATATGTGTTCAGTTTATGAATTGCACAGAGCTCATGGCAAGAAATAACCTTCTGTAAACAGTAGGAATTTATGTTCCAAATCAAACTGTTCCAGACAGTTCCCTTTTCTTCTCTAAAATGCTAGTGAATAGCACAGATGCTACAAACACAATAATAAAGTCCAAGTATTCCACATACACTTATTTCTCTACCCTATTTTTGCTAGTATTAAAACACATGGGTTTGGACCCTTTTCTAAAATTGTACTGACAAAACAGCCAACTAACATTCTTTTTCCTTAAAAACCTTATATCTTGGTATTTTACCCAGTATAAACTGCAGTGTGATTGTTTCACCATTACTACAATCATGGCTGTCCTCAAACCTTAGGCCAACTTTAAAATTTAGGTTTATAGGGGATTTTTTACACACTAAAATCATTTCAGCTAAACAGACAAAGAGACAGTTCTGAGTATTTTACATTTCTTCATGCTTCCAATCAGTTTGTTATTTCTGTTTTCTTCTGCTCTGAAACAATGTAACTAAGAAGTTTTCCAGCATTCTGAGAGGCAGAGATTCAGAACTGCTTAAAGCCACCTTCTGATTTGTTCATGGCAGCTGTCTCAAGCAGAATATTTAGACAGATCACTTGCTACCTCCAGCAATGTTGAACAACAAAAATTAAGGTAATAGAATAATAAAAGGTGGGTAATCAGAAAGAATAGGATGCAATTCTGTTGACTCATGCCTAGTAACACAATAGCATTAAATAGAAAATTGTCCATCTCAACTTGTCCTCCCTTGAGCTCTCATACAAACAAACTTCCACAATCAAATTACTTAACTCCTCTATCACACTTATATTGTCTCCACCAGGATTTGATGTCAAGCTGACTTTAGAGACCTGAAGCTGAATTTTTCTAAGGACATCTTACACAAAAAGAAAAATGAAAGAGAAGAAATGCTTCTCTTCTCCATTTGCAGAAGAACCAGCTTTCCTCACTCACGTTTCTATCACTGTTTCTCTGAGTTCCAAGATAATCCTTTACAGATATTCCCAAATCTAAAGAAATGCAGATGATCACTTTGCTATCACATGTCATCTTCCATCTATAGGTTAAATCCCAGAGCTCTGGGAAAGAGCATAAAGAATCAAACAAACAAAATTCTAATCCCAAAAGTATTGAAAACTATTTACAGAAACTGGTAGTAAGAGGGTCATTTGAAAGAAAACAAACACATTGAGATTTCATCAGGGGGGTTTAAAAATATTTTTGTCTTGCTGAATTTTAATGACAAAAACTTACCTGCTTTCTGCCTATACTGTAATGTGAATTTGCAGCTTGATTTTTCCAGTGGGGTTGGAATACAGTTACATGTATTATTAACATATATGGAAGTTCATAGTACTTGGTAATTAGAAGGTTTTGTGTCTTCATAACATTATGAGTAAAGCTCACAAACATACCACAATATCGCTGTTAAAACAAAATTTGAGTTCCTAAAAGAAGCTAACACTACAGGAAAAAATCTATTGTGATCCTTTTGGTCTTCTAAGTGTTAAGAGTACTCAAAATATCTTTACCTTAGTCCAACACAACAAGACAAAGAGGAGAGGGTGCGTGAAGTAAAAAGAACATATATCCTGTCAGAATTTGTCCTAGAGCTGACCTCCAAGAAGAAGACATGATTCTGTCCTGCACCAGAAGCAAGCATAAATAGCCCCAAACTGACAGCTGCTTCAGCATGAGGGTCAGCAGAACACAAGTATATAGCAAAAGCTTGTGAAAGCTGACTATTTTAATCAAATTCTGGCCTCAGTACTTTTCCCCCAAGATGATACAGGGCAAATTTAAGGTCTGTCCAAAAGCTGAGCACCCTACATCATGTTAACTAAGCATCCTACTTCTTACAGAAAATAGTGATTTTGTAAACCTCATACTTCTCTCACACCACTCAAAAGCAAAGCTAGGGGTATAATACACTTTTAAGTTAAGTATATACAGGTATTTACAGGGCTAAGTTACAATGCACCAACTGTCTAAGGAGCCAAAGTCATGTCAATTTTGCCATAATTTCACAAACTCATTTTTATCTCAACATTTTTAAAACAAAGATTACAATCAGTAAAGATTGTTTTACACATTCAGAGTCCAGCATGCATTCTTTCAACGAAAAAATTCTCTCAAATAGTTGATAATACATTGCCAAAAGTGACAAGCTGTCCTGGCCACATGAAGCAGCTTTGTTTCAGGGGGCATTTAATCTTTTATTTAGAAGTGTAGAGGTTTTTTTCCTCAAACAAGTTCTACAACAACAAGCATGTCAAAAGAGAGATCACAGCTTTAAAATTCAAGTGTATATTTGTATTTTCTCAAGTGCATATTTTGCATTTTTGTATCAGACTCAGAAGACCACAAAGTTAACATACCTGTGTTCTGTGAGGACATTTACTGCAGATGGGTGGTTGGCACAGTATGTAAGGTATAAGCTTTTCATTTGTGGCATCAGATTTAGAAAACACCCTCCAACCCTCTGCTGAGCTTCAGGCAACCTAAAAACAGAGTAATAAATATAAAAATACTGCAATAGTAACCAGACAGAGAAATAAATTAAACACCAGAAAAACAGTACATATTGTGTGCTGGGTTTGGCTGGGGTAGAGTTTAATTTTCTTCACAGTGGCTGGTAGAGGACCATGTTTTGGATTTGTGCAATAGCATAAGGGCAACAGAAGGGATGAAATCCTTCTCTTCTACAGAGCAGCTCCCACTGGAAGGACTAAGCCTCTTCAGCAGAAGGCTGTGTGGCCAATTGTATAACCTAACCCACACTGAAGTTAACCAGAAGATGAACCACCAGCTTTCATCAGTCCTAGATAACAAACTTATTCCTGACTCCTTGTCTAAACCACTGTACAACATGTGCAAGATGAAATGTTTCAATTTCTCCATGCACTTGCTCTCCTTCCACAAAGGCTACATAAAATAAATATGCTGAATTTTTGCTTCCTTGCAAGCCACGACAGTGGATTTTACTGTTGTTCATCTTTTTAACTGCTCTTAAAACCAGTACTTCACTCTTCACATCAGCTGTAAAGCTAAATGAGCCCTCACTGAGTACTTGATGCAAATACTGCTAACACAGTCAAAGAGCTTCATTCTAAGATTAGCTCCAACAATTCTTTCTGGAATAATATTTTTTTTTTCCTGGAAAAAAAATTTTAAAGAAGTCAGAATTTTCTGTTGTTGTCCCGGACATGTACATAAAGTTCCTAAACAGCAATATTAAGCATTTCCCCTTTAAAAAAAAAGTGAGCTATGCCCCAGTGAACTTCAGTAGGAAATAAACCATTCAGCTTTCCAGGACAACCACTCCTGCAGGCAGGGGATGTTCCCCTTCTGCTCAAACACAGTCATCTTGTCCCAGTCCTTAGGTTTGCTCGTAGCAGTCAAAATTCAAAGTTCCCAAGAAATTCTCCCCCAAATTCCAAAACAGTAAGTCTGTCTCCTATTAAGCCGTTCAGTCCCTCTGTACAGAGTGGGAAGACCACCCAAAATGAAGTAATAATTGACTGTAGAGGTGTTCCAAATGTGAGTCAGAGGAAACATACTCTCTTATTTGAGAGCAACATTCGCTACAGACACCCAAAAAATGACAGCTGAATGCCCAGCTAACACACCAGACACACTCAGGTCACAGTATCAACACTCCTTATATCAAAGACTAGGGCTCATATTTTCAGTCTGTGTCTTTTATTTTTAAGAAGTTTAGATTCTGCAGTCAATAGAGTGGCTGCTTTTGCAGGTGTTTAGGGGAAAACCAAGCATACTGAGGGAATGCTATTCTTACAGCCTTGCCAAGCAGCATTTCCTGCCAAGCAGCTGGTCCCCTTTAATAAATCTACCATGAGCTAATAATACATTCTTCGAGTAATAGATGCAGCCAAAGTCTCAAACTCTGAAGACATACTCAAGGCATATAACTCAGTATTAAATAGCAAGAGGCTCCAATAAACAGTTGCTAAAAATGGTTAAATTCCTGTTTCATACTGTAGTGATGGGGGTGGAGGGTGAATTATGGCTGTTTGCACCAAGCAGACATCTGTGTCTCCTCAGTCTGCTGTTCTTTTAGCAGAATCAAAGACTGGCATTATTCTCTTTCACATGTTGCACATGCATTGCCACTTTATACAGCACATTCTTTGTTGAATTAAAATAATTAATAGACTTTGTAAGGGGGTGGTAACTCATCACTTTAACTTTTCTAATCCATGCATTTTAGTTGCAAGTGCTCTACTATTTTCAGCAGATAAATTATCTATATGTCTTTTACCCACTGAAAAAAAAAATCAACAATTTAATGCCTATCACCACATCATATAAACCTTTTAGTAATTAATGTGCTCCATAAAGACCATATCTATTTTACAGTTTACTCTGAAATTATCATCCCAACCTCATTCTCATATTTAACACTTTTATTAAAAAGGAATCACATATAAATATTTACAGATATATTTAAGTTATATCAACTTCCGTTAAAAGAAGACCAGATACATGTTTTAATTCCATTTGCAAATGTAAAGGAACCATAACAAAGCCTCTGCTGTTGTACACTTGCTAGAGGAATCACCATGTGACTACATCTAAATTACCTAACACTGTCTGCTTGCTGGAGTTGCATCCAACAGCTATCAGTTCTGTTTCTCCAGACTTCAACAGCCACCCGGTGCATGGTAATTTGTAGAAAGAAATAAAAAGTAAGTGTAATTGAGCCCCAAAGGGTGCAGTTTGTGAAGAAACTAAATGTTACTTCTTGAGGCTTCACAGTTAACAAAGTTATGAAATAAGGGGCCACTGCAAATTTCTGAGAGACTCCTTGCACCAATTAGGCACTACTCAGCTTACAATCCTTCAGTTTAATTTTCACCCTTTTCACTACCACACCTTTCACTAATTGTCTAATTGTCTTATCTCTCAGACATTAGTTTCTATGCACGTTTGTCTCAGGATATCCAAAGACACTGTAATCAAATTCCCTTAATATCAATACCCTTATTTCTGTTGATACTCATGATAACCAAAAGTAAAGGATGATACTGGGACTTAGACTTAATTTGTATCTGCAGTCCAAAACAAACCCTGAAATACTAGTGAGGTTTGGACAAGATTTAAATAGTCTCCCCCTCACACTCTGGCCTCTCCTCTCTGTTTTTGTTGCTTGAAGTTTTCTTAAATTCCATTCCCCTTCAGAATCATCCCCAAAAATGAAGTATCTTCTTGCACTTAAACACAGAACAAGACAACGTTTCCTGTGGCTGCAAGAGCAGGGACATGAGGGAAAGAGAGGACAAACCCCAGATATGGCTGTAGCAGAGCAAGGAGGTAAGCCTGTGATACTACATAAAGGATTTCCATTTGCTACAGACATCATATCTAGATCATATCTATCTATGATCTATGTATCTAACCATATCTATCTATCATGTCATGTCATGTAGGCTGCTGTCACCAGCCAGGGCTGTGTGTCACATGTCCCTCCTTACTGAGAAATACTGCCATGGACTGACAGCTTCTACTACCAGGTGAATGGAAGAATCCTTTTTGGAGCAGGAGATCAAATCAGGACCACTCTCCGGCTACAAAAATACCCAAAGAGCAACACTTCCAATCGAGATCATTTGTATCAGGGCAGAGATCACCTGATGGACACTGACTTTGTTCACAGAGACTCTTCTGCTGTGCGAACTACTGCAGAACTGATCTTTGGCATGGGACTACAGACCTGGAATGAGACCTAGGGCACTGGACACTTTTTCTCTTCAAGAGACCAGAGCACAGAGCACTCTTGCTATGTTTCACTGTCAGAAATCTGCTCTTTCACAGCTGAAGGCTCCAACAGCATCTCTCTGCCTTGCCGGTTACAGTTCTTTTCCATCCTGAACCAAGTGCACTGGAAGCTGATCAGCCAAAAGAAAACACCTTTGAAGCCTGTCAGCTACAAGACTGTCACTCAATGCTAGTTGGATTTATTCCATACACCACCCTTGTAAGAAGAGAAGTTACAAAGGTGGAAATAACACCAACCTGGAGAAGTTCAAAGAGGACAAACCTTGAACAATGAACCAGAAGACCTTCAAGGCTGTGGGCAGGGTGGGAGGGTGGCACAGAACTAAACTCAAACCATATCCAAACAACATTTCCCCCAAAACACACAAATAATCCACTACAGCATCATATGCACAACCCAGCATTTAACACCAGGAGGATTAAACAAGACAAAGTGGCGCAGGCAAAAAGGAGGAAAGCACAGGAAAGTTTCTGCCACTGAAGTACATGCCAGGATTTGTTAAAGAAAAAACTCAAATGACAAACTGTCTCAAGGTGGGTGTGGAATTCAAAAAACATTTAACTCTCATACCCAAGAAAAGGAATTTGTCAAGCAAGGTAGGCTGGCAGCATTGGAATTGGCAGGATGACAGCATTTGGTCACTGTGACATGTCAAGTCAGAATAAAACACCACACCGGATGTTGCAATATGAAGCGCCTCAATGATGGAACTATAAGCTCTCTGCCAAAAATAAAATAAAATGATAAATCTATTTTCAGCCTGGGAGCTAGTCTGAGTTTACAGAACAGGTTCACCAGCCAAAAAAACATGGCAAAATGACAAGGAAAAAAAAAAGGCAGCAGAGCAAGCATTCTTCTACATGATGGGAATCATGATGGATTAGTGGATTAGATTCCAAACAGGAAGATGCTGTATGCTCAAGTTAATGTGCTATGATGAAAATTTAACTGAAAATACAACTCAGCATGATGAGCATATTTGTGAAATGAAAATAAAATAAAACATTTGCAATAAAGCTTCAGTAACTCCAGGGCATCACATTCTCTGCCCACCTACTAGCACCCAGTGTGTTCCTCTAGTTTATTATATAGCAACATTTCACTTAGCAGAAAGAAGAAATAAAGGACATTATGAAAAGGTGCTTTAAAACAGTTTAAGGCAAGCAGAGTTATTAATGAAGCTTTCTGAGCTTGAAGCTCCATTATGATATCACTTAAACTTACATTGCAGGTCAAAATTAAGTTTGCAGTAATATTTGTTTAAAGGTATAGTACAAAGGTATATATAAAGGTGTATATATATACTCTTTTCCTCTCATTTTTAAGATAACTTAAAGTTTTGAAAGATTACAGTCTGTTCCATGCAAAGTATTTCATTTCCTTAATTTGTGATACAAAGAAACAAAATCATGGTAACAAGCAAAGGAGACACCAAAGAGCAGTGACAAGAAACAAAAGGAAACATTTGAGTATGTCGACAAATGGACATTTTCAGAGATTTAGACATTTAACTGATCAAGTCAACCTTTCCAGAATGACTATCCTTCTTTCTCACAGCATCAGACAGACCATTTCAAGAATGGTCTATTTCAAGAACACACACCATCCTCCCTTCCCCTCTCTCTGGTCTAAGTTACCTAGAGGAAGGACAGAGGGACAAAAGGCAGGTGTTGCGAGGATGTGGGATCTGAAGTCAGCAACAGTACCAGGAATATGTCACTGCCTGGTGGAGATGCAGCCTCTCCTTTGTCATGACAAGGCTGCTTCTTCACACAGAGCAGCTCAGGGAGAGGAGGGAGAGGTCAAAACAACACACACTGAGGCGATCCAAAGCTCAAAGAGGTATTTTCTTCTCCATCCAAGACATTCACTTGTTCTCACAGCAAACAAACTCGTTAAGCCCTCAGTAGCACTACAAATTACTAACTTGGGAGAAACCAAGAAAATTTGTATTAAGAAGTTGCCTTAGCTCCCTGTGTGGTCAGACAAAAATAGAATATAGGCAAAGAAAATGACACAACTGAGGTAATCAATGTAAATTACACTTTCAGTGGAGTTTCAGAAAATTGTTAGGACAATCCAAAGGCAGTATGGTCACCTCCTTTCTTACACGTCCAAGTACAGTGGTAACAAGCTGAAAAATACCAAGTTACCACTTCAGCCTAAATTATGGAAGGAGGACTAGTGTCTTCATGCCCTTCTTTCTGGGCATGCTTCCTATATGGCGCAGGATAAGCACTCAGAGGTTTCCTTTAATTCAGGTTGCTCTTTCTGCCTATCCTGCACACCTCTCCCAGCATACTTAGATGACAACTTTTGCTCAGGCCAGAAGAACACCAAGTAGAAGCATTCTCATACAGTGTCCTTCATCCAAGTCACTTACCTCCTTCTCCATTGTTCCACTATCACATAAGGTTGCTCCATTCTTTCTTCCTCTTACTTTGAAGAAAATATTTAAAATTCATGCCCCCCAAACCACCACTTTCCTACTGGTATGCACTTGCATTACAAAAATCCAAAGCTTCTTTTAAACTACATCAAAATTTCTATCTTTGCAATTGCAATAGGTATCTGTACAATCAATCAATACATTCTCCAAACATCTATTACTGTGCTGCTCTGACAACAACTCTTGAAGGAAAACAATCTATACCCAACAAAACATGCAACAAGTAAAGTAATAGAAGAGATTTGCATGTTAGCATTTACTCTGTCCAGTATGCATGATACTTACTTGGTGCATTCTTCTAAAGACTGTACAAGCATTTGCTGGAAAGAACTTATTTCTTCCAGGTTTCCCATTAAGTAAGAAGTATTTGTCAAGGTTAACCTGGAGCCAAAGCAAATAAAACATGTTTAGGTGTGCAGCTATTGACTAATTGTGCATTAATACTATCTATTGCATTAAAAGAAAATGCTTACTGGTTCTTAGATCAAGGCCCAGACTGTTTCAATCAGCAAGCGAGCTGAATAAAAGCAATCCCTGCCTCAAGAATCACATAGTTCACAGAGGTAAATTCACACTGACATCCACATTTTGACCATGTTAACCCGCCCCAATACCTGAGAGATCTCAATTTAAAACACAGGACAAACTCACATACTTTTCACTGGCTTGTAATGGTCGCAGGTAGTTTGAAAGCATTGTTTGTAGCTCCTTAGCATATTCATTTTCTGTTTCTAATATATTTTGTAGCACCTACAATAAATGACAATTGCTAATTGGTACTTTTTAAGATATATCAATACCAGTTTTAAAGCACACTAAAATTTATTTAGCATGAGAAAAGCTTAAATGAGAGTTCCTATTTTAAAAATGCAAATATCAGCAAATATTGAATACTATACGTCTATGAAATTCACAGGAGGAAAAAAACCACTACACCAGATGAACCAATCTTTAGCTATACACAAAAAAAAATGCTAAGTATACAAGATTATCACTACATTTTGCTGTAAAATTTGAGTTACACAGAGCTTTCCTCCAAAGCCAGGAGTAATTATTCCCCCTATGTACCTCAGAACAGTCAAAGATCATCAGAGGATGGTAAAGCACAATAGAACTTGCAAGAGAAATGAACAATGTCAGTTTCTCAGTCTCAATTCCAACACATTGCAACTAATATTGCTAGTGGAGTGTTCAGATGCACTAAATAACCTGCTAGAACACCTGAATATTAACAGATTTACAAAGATCAAGTAATTTCCAACTTCACTTACCAACACATTTAGCACTATTGCATTATTTTTAAATAGTGCTGCCTAACCTTACACTGGGAGTACACTACCATAAGAAAATTGCAATAGACTGATGCAAAGCCAGGTATTTATAAAATACAGCACACACACTTGGGTTTTGGTTGAATATAAATCAAACAAGTAAAATAATCCCAAATATGTACAGGAAAACATTTTACTGGGCCATTTCTTGGAAGTCTGCTTTAGGATATCCTCCCTTAAAATCATATCAGGTTCTACTGTGCTTTTAGAAGGCGACTTATTTTTTGCCTCCAAAAGTTATTTAGCAAGAGAATCATCAGAATTAAATGCAGTTTAGTGAACAGAGCTGAACTTCAAAAACTTACTGCTAATCAGTGGTCACAAGCTGCAGCACAAACCTCATTTTGTTACATGCCATATTTGCCAAGTCTACGGTAATATCTCATTTCAGCATTTATAGGAACAACTGTAATTGAGTGCATTATTCACTGTTGTAGTCAATACTCTCTCTTAGGAAATAAAAAAAGCCATTCATTCCTAAATGCAAACCTGATGAAATAACTTTAAGTAGTTCAGTATGTCAATGAAGAATTCACTGTTCCTTTCATTGGTGTCACTGATTCTGCTTATTCCTTGAATGCTTCTATTCATTTAGGGAGAGAGAGAGAGAAACCATTTTTGAGTCCATTCTTTTGTTGCAAGTCTGAATCTTGAACTGAAGATTAAAATGTCTCCATTCTCTGCTAAACACTGTGACAGAAGAATGTCACAGGGAAAGTTATGGCTACTAACTTGGAAATTACAGCATAAAGTACAATATGGGCACACAAATTTTTAAAAAGCTAAGAGGATTTTTTGACCCTTTAGACCAGGGAAATAAAATGTCTCTGCCAATCACAGCACTAACTAACTCCATATTCTCTTTTATATACATAAAACAAAAAAGCAAGTAGTTCAAATGCAAATATAAAAGTACTTGGCATCCATGAGGTTCAAAACTAAGTGCAAAACCGATATTTTTCAATATCGTTTTTCCCACAAAAATCTCCCAGCCCAAAGTCATTACACTGGCAGGAAAAATTAGTAGGGAAAAGGAGACTGAAAGCCAGGGACAAAACCACAGTGTCCTGATGAAGATCCAAACAGTATTAAAAGACTCTGAAAGATAAAAATCAACAAATTTGCTAAAGATCTTGAAAGACTGCAGCACTATCCCATTTTCTCAAAGACTACTCCCATTCTGAGCTACAAACAGCTGTCTGAAAAGCTGGAAATAAAACTAGTTTCATGTTGGACACACTTCATTATTTTCCTTGTGCTGGTTTGGATTTTTCTTTGAGGATTTTCTTTGCCATATGGAGAACATGGGATTAAAGGAAGAAGACTTAAGGGCAGGGGAAGGTAGTAACAAGAAAGCTTAAAAATTAGAATTAGTAACCTGACAGAGGAAAAAGGAAAATTAATGCCACTGTAAATAAAACTATGTTACAAAACCTGTGCAGAGTACCATATGCACTTACACATGTTTTTATTCTAGTAATTCACAATGTTACACAATACTTGAGATATACACAGTTTCAACTGTCCCCAGAACATATTAAACTTATTAAATCTATTACCCTTTCTTCTAAACAAGTACAGTTTTCACTGCATACAATTTGTTTTTAACTTTGAATACATTATTTAAAAAATAGCCTTGCTTATATAGCTCTAAAACATAATTTCTGTGATATCTTGCATTCTTCCAGCTTGACTTACCTACCTCACTGAGAAGCTGTGAGGATTATTGGACTGTGCTTTGAAGTGACAAGTAGTCATTACTGCAACTCAGTATTCTGGCACCAGAAATCCCTGACATTCCTCACATCCACATCTCTTCCGCATGATCTAATAATCACCTTTCTTCCCTTTCCTGCTCTCTGAGCACTCTGGCTGCTGCAGGACCCCATGAGAGCTCCCAGACCTCGTTTCCACAGCTGCACCACAACATTGCAGGATCCGCCCGGGTACGACAGAGCAGCATTGCAGCTCTGCAGCCCGTCACTGCTGAACGGCAGGCACACACAGCTGAGCTCAGACTGCACCAGCTCTCCCAGGCACATGGCATACAACATTCAACATGGTTAACAGTTCTGCCACACAAAACCTCAGCCTGCTCCCTACCACCCAAAAATGCATTTACAATTACCTATATGAAGATGATTGCCTTCCAAACCAGTGGGAGAAAAGGCAGAGATCAGCGGTGCACTTGGGCATGATCCTGTAGCACACTGACATTTTATCACACTAGTATGGCACTTCACCAAAATATCACAAAGTTGAGCAAAATTGTGATCAGTATGTCATTTTCCTGGTTCACAAGAATTTGCTGAACTCCTTAAAACAGGCTCTTGAGAGGGGCATTGTAAAGCACTGCACAAGTATACCATACAAGGGCCCTCAAAAACTTATATGAGCTTCATTAGACAACTTGATGCAACTTTAAAAATGTGACCTCAAAAGGAGTGTTTATTTTCTACTACTTCTCAAACACTTAAAAGGAAACAAAGTTATCCACATACTCATAACTGTGGAGAAATTTGCCCATTTCTTCACCCGCTTTTAGAATAGTTACCTAATCTCAAAGCAACTGTAAATGGAAAGAACCTGATTTTATTCTGGATACAGAGTTACAAACTCTCAAGGGATCTGAAGCAAAAATAAAACTCAGAGTAATGCCTGCTCTATCTTCAGAGAATAACATGCAACAATACACCCACTTCTTCAGTAACAGGCTACTAAATTACTTCTACATGGAAAATGCTTCATCACAAGTCTGGTTCATATTACACACTACTATAGACTTGTACCATTTCATGGAGGACAACACCTCAGCATTCTCCACTAACCTGAACTCCTGAGCCAGGCCAAATGTACATGCATAACAAATGTGTCTTCTCAGCAACATGTAGTGCAAGGAGCAATAATTAAGCACACAGACTAGAAGCATGTGATTTGTCTCACAAACTCCAGACGGAGCTGTGAATCCACAGAAATAAAGAACATGTTCACAAGGGGGTGAAGAGCAGAAGAAAGTGGGGAAAGCAGTCTCCTCTTTACATTAAGTATTTTCCCTTAGCCTATCCCAGTCCTCCTCCCAGAAAGGGAGCCTCTCCTATCACTTTCTGAACAGCCTTTTGAGTCTGTCCTCAGTCCAAAAAAACATATCCTCAAGTGCTGCCTGCACAAAACCTTCCCCAGGGTAAACAGCAATAAATAACTGTGGTGACTCCAGAGTCTCAGCACATCCACATGTGGGGACAGCCAACAACCCAAAAATAGTACAAAGTCCCAGAGTACCAGTCTCAATTCTAGCTTAGTAGCCAAGAGAACCTTAAACACAGATTTTTAACATTTACTCCTTCACTCCAACTACATCCTTTCAGCTACCAGTTGCCAAAAGCTTTTTTAGAGATATTCTGCTTTTTCCTCAACTTTATTATCAGTACAGACTGATGAAATGTAGCACAGGGAAGTCTCCTGTCTGTAGCTTAAGACAGAACAAAAACTCAACTCAGAATTTCACTTCAGTGAATGGGTTTGCTGTTTGTCTTATCTACATGCAAAACATGTAAAAATCTTACATACTTAATTGAAATTGAAAATATTCTATAGATATTTTCAGAAGCCAAAAATGGCACATTTTTGTGCCATCAGAAGCACAAAATGTATTTCAAGAAAATTGAAATGTCAGTATGTCTAATTTAGGCTTCAGACACAGTAGTACAGTCTTACTTCTCTGAAACAATGGGCTAGGTACAGCAGAGCCTCTCATTTTCTAAATCAGAATAAAATAGTGACTATAAAAAAAAAAAAGTAGGGATATTTGCCACACTATGGAAAAAAGTGAAAATGACAATTATCCAATTCATTGCTGACAGACTTAAGACCAGCACTCTAGGGTCTGTGGTGTAATTTACAACAATTTTGTATATTATTATGAACTGGTCCTTTTCACTCCCTACAATGTCATCAACAGTTATTAAGTAATTAGCAGTCAAAACAGTTGGCATCTCATTACATCAGGTTAATTGTACCAAGAAAGTTGCACCTGAGCAAGACATAAAATAAACTAATCCTAAGAGTAGGTATATGATGGTCACTAGGGTTTGGGGTTTTTTGGGTTTTTGTTTGTTTTTTAATTAAACTACTTTCAAAGCCAGTCACAGCTGTATTTCCCAAAGTATAGTAGCTTGAGCCTCCACAATTAGAAAGGGTCATACAGGGAACAATTATAAAAATCACACAAACCAAAGGTGATATTTCAAAATTGTATGGTATAACTTAGGTGCCTGAACAAAATGAACATTTACTTTCTCTTCTTTTCACTTAAGTACACTTTCATCTCCCAAATTTGCATCCACACACTACAATAACCTAAAAAGAAAAAACACTATAAAAAGATACAGTGAAAACAAAAATAAATTAAATCAAGCCACTATTTTGTCACTGGATATACCACAGCAAGATCTTTACATCCTGCAGTTTGAGAGAAGGGTGTGCCTGCAGAGACTTTCCATTGTGACCAGCAGTTATGGGATGCAGTAGCCAAAGAACTGCAGCCCTCCCTTCAGCACAGAATTGCAGCTATGACAGAGGCAGGAGCAGAGCCAGATGGAGGAGCAGGAGGTTGCTTCACAGCCTTCAATTAGGGACTACAGACAAAACACCTCTGCTCCTCCAGGTGCTATTCAAGCCACAACCACACAAGACAAAAACAGAAAATTATGCTTTATGACCCTTCTTAAAAACAGTCATAGAAATGAAAACCCATGGCAGCTGCTGGAAGAAAAGGGAAAGAAAGGTTGTGGTTTGGTTTTACACCAGCAGGGAGCAGTGCTTAACAAAAACAGTAAGACGCTTTTTTGTTTCCCAGTGTATCTCCTCAATAAATACATGATTCTCAACATGGTTACAACACACTTAAAGACAGGGTTGGGTATGTTTCCTACATGCATCTGTTTCATACATGCAACCTAGTACCTGAGTACTAGGTTAAGAATTCCTGGGGTATGCTAAAGGCTCACTCTGCCTGTACTGCCTTGCTGTGAAATCTATGCACAGTATAAGGGAGAGATTCCTTAGGTTAACAACAGAGCTGACTTACAAGCATCAATACAAAGGAAGCAAATTGAACCTTTGGAAACAGTCTCTTATTCAACAAAAAGAACAAAAGTATACTTAATTAGTTTAACACAGCAGAATTTCAGTAATTCATGGAGATTGGGGAACACTGATGTCACATGTGGGGGATGGGAGAAAAAAAGGAAATTAACAACTAGCAAAACATGAGCATAATATTACATTAATGACAATCATTCACTTACTTTAAGCTACAAATTTTGCACAATGTTTAAGATTCCACATATGTGATATTCTATTAAACTAATAATGATCTTGTTTATATGAGAATCCACCAATACCCCTATCTAGTTTTGGTACTTCTTGGCAAGACTGCCCTTTTTTTTTTTTTTTCAGATGAGAGCATTTAGTTAAATGACATTCTACTGTATATAACAGCTCACATGGAAGAAAAAGTGATCACTCACCACATTGTAGTAACTTTTGTTAATTGCAGATGTATCAAAGCCTTTAGGTGGACTCTTCAATGTACCTGATTTGGGGGAGACTGGTTTTTCTGAAATAAAAGATATTTTGGGGTCAATGGGGTGCAATTTCACAGCTCAACACTAGAGGTCAAACAAACTGCTTTAAAATATTTATCAAGATACAGTAAAAAGGGTGTTTCACTGAGAAACATACATAATTGTACTTGAAATTACTGGCAAAGAATCAGTATGTTCACAATGAATGAAACTCTAGCCCAATTGAAGGCAAGCAGAAAAACTACCATTCTTTTTCCTGGAACCAGAAGGTCAGTTAATAAAATCTGCACTTTCAAATTTATTTTTTAAAAACAAGATGTTGTTATAGACTGTAATTTAAAAAGAAAGCAAAAAAAAAATCAGTAACAGGCATTTCCAAACCATATACACACTTTCAAACAAAAGTAGCATTAAGTTTCAACATTAATTTAATGACCTCTGTGAAAGCAAGTGACCAATCAAAAACTGAACGCTCCAGAAGTGGGACATTACACTCAGTCTCAAAATAAGATTCAAAACACTGTACTAGTGAAGTGACTTACCTTATGCCCCGAAAATCATCTTTTAAAACAAATTATATTTTGCTATTAATGAAGGATAGAATAAAAATGTTTATGCACTTGAGAACAGGGTTCTTCATAAAAATAAATCCTTCAAAACAAAGTCCTAAGAGTCACCCAAGTGCTGGCCCAGATCAGAGAGGCAGAGAAAACACACACTCCCCTAAAGCCTTCCCTCCCACCACTACCACTCCTCTAAATCAATTACAGAGGAGCAAACATGAGGTGAGAGAAAATCAAAAGCAACATGCTGCTTGCTGCAGAAACAGCAAGTAAGATTTGCAGCATCTCTTCTTGATCTCTCACACTTGACTGTGCACTCAACCAACTGAAAATGCTTGTGAGACTCTGTTTACCAGGACATTTTGGTGTTTTGGTTCATCTATTTCTGTTGGTTTTTTAAATAATTCCTCTAAGATGCAAATGTCTAATAAGCATTTGATTAATTTGCATCCAAGCTATAAAACAGTAAATTGTCAACTGAACTGCTCCAAACAAAACCACAGAAGCATCACCAAAACATACATACTGAAGGCTTTACCTTTATTTTAAAAGCAAGCTCCTGTTTCAAACACATTTTAATAAAGATACATGAATAATTTAAGTCTAGTTTACCTGATACCTCAGGCTAAGAATAAATTATGCAAGTCTCAAACACCTCTCCAGGAGAAGCCCAGCCAGCCAAGCTAAGGGCCAGCTATGGAAAATTCCCATGGACAGCAGAGCTGACCAGGGAAGCAGCATCACAACCAGAACACTCCCTGTGGCACCAGCCTCTCCTGAGCAATTTAGGGCTCCTTCAGGCTCCCAGCTGCATCCCCCCATGGATGATGCCAGCTCAAACAAGCTGACTCCAGGTGCAGATCACCCTTTCATCTCCAGCACCAGGACAGCCTGGCAGCCCAGAGGCTTTAGCTAACAGCCCACAAAGAGCAGCTCAGTCCCCATAAGCACACAAATGCAAGTATCTTTAAGGGGATTTGCTCTGTATTGCAGTGGAACTCCCCTCAAAGAAGCTAATCTAAAAATAAAATAAAGTCTTAAAACGGCCAAACATGTGCAAAGAAAAAAAAACCACCCCATTCTCCTTACCACATTGAGGGATGACAGTAAAACCCTTTTGGTTAATATCCCCTGCCTAGCCAGCCCACATCAGATCTAAGCTGACACACAGCACAAAAACTGTTAGAGGCAGCAGTTATCCAGCTGGGAACACTGGTGCTCCCAGCCACCAGCCCTGCAATGTGTGTGTGCTCTGCTATACAGCCAAGTAATTCCAAATGACAGGACTCCTCCCACCCCCTCAGAACCAAGCTGTAAACTCAAGCAGATTTGCCATCAAACACTCAGTTTGAAAAGACCTAAAATCACCTCATATGTATGGCTATTCATTTATGTATTCATCTGTAATGCTTCTCTATATGGGACAATTAAATACTTTTCTTTGTACTGAATGATGAAAATGATGTCATTCCCACAAACGTGGTAATTTGCTTTTACTCTCTGTGGAAGCTCTTGAACTTATCCTACAATTTATAGTGACTTCCAGGTTCACTAAATACCTCAAGGTTTATTATCATGTGCCAAAAAGCATGAAAGGAGAAACCAGAGTTATTTCAGGATAAAAGTAAATACTTGTCACAGAATTTATCATAATACAGATGTCTTGAAAGGAGTAACAAGAGTTATTTAAGGATAAAGGTAAATACTTGTCATTGAATTTATCATAATACAGATGGCTGACCATTGTTAAGCTGGCTGATCATGGAATTCTGGTTCTTTGTTATTTTAAAGGGTGCAAAAATACCTCTCCACTTAAGCTGCTGAAGAAAGTGGGAGGTTTTTTTGCTGAAACATATAGAGTCATTTATATTGCCAGCTGTTCAGCTGATTCAGTTATCCATCAGAGACACTCACATGTCCAAATTCAGATTTAAAGAAAGAACAGAAAAAAATAATCACACATTCATATAATTTTGCCTGAACAGTCATAATCAACATTTAGCTTTTGAGATGTAAAGGCCATTTCTATTGCAGAAACACAGAATCAGACACAGCAAATTAGTCCATCTGTCTATCATGTCTGGTATTCTGCCTCCAAGCAGTGCCTTGCTTCATAATGAGGAATAAGAAACAGTCTTGCTGCAATTAGCTTATTGCACAATGCATTACAGAGAAAAAAATCCTGATCTTGAACATAAGAAATCACTTTCCTTGTTTATGCTAAGTTAAGTGTCATTTAGCATCCTTGGTAATAGAACATTAGAGTATTTTGCAAACAGAGCATATTTCATTAAACATTTCAAGGAGGAACCACCCTTATTCAGCACACTACATCTTTATGAAGTCCATGGGTTTTTGAAACATTAGCAAAAGCCTGGCACCTTGCCCACTCCACAGAGGCTCTATTTCTCAAAGCTCTGGAAGAGAGTGACTTGAGCCAGACACCAGCTTTTCCCACACAGACTTTTGCATCTCCCTACTTTTCTCCAGGCACAATGTGCGTGCCTTATATTAACACTGAAAGCACAGTGAAAATGGCTCAGTGTACGATCAAATCCAAAGCTGGCAGGCATCTGCTCAAGTATAGGAGGAGATGGTATCCTGCTGGTGACTGAAACCAAGAGCTAAGTTCCCACTGTCCATCTCTCTTGTGATCAAAGCATCACATTCAAATGCCCTCAGCCACACTTGATAATGCATTGTCTAGTGGCAAACCAGATGGACTTCACTGAACAGATCATCTGTGGGTGAGAGAATGAGGGTAGCACAGGCTTTTAACATTACTTTTCCAGGAAATAATTATCCTCAGTGGAACCAACTGCTTTTATAACCTTCCCCTAAGTGGTATAAGATGCCACAAACTCCCTTAAATGAAGTTATTTTATTCTTTACAAATGTCTATTTATTGGCTATAAAAAGAAAATTTACCCAATCTTTCCCAATACTCCGTTTCTTTCTATTTTAACTTATATGCCTTCACATTACCTGATATTCCCACATTCTCTCTTCTGAAATGTCTTCAGTTTATACCATATTCATTTTCATGCAACACTCTACTTTGTGCTACTCCACAGAGAATTTATTCCCTTCAGAACATACTTGACTAAAGCACTTTGACCCTACTGCTACAGAGCATCCCTGAGTGTTTCTGCAATTCCTGTGCCGTGGGGCATTATCTAGATAAAAAGATCCAATTTGGGTTATTTCATCCCACATTAGGGCAGGAAAGGTGTGTCAACAAGAACACCAAAAGCTGTGTGGTCCCTATCAGTGAAGTGCTACAAGCAAGCTCCATGTTCCTAGACTAATCAGTTCAAGTCCAGCATCAGGAGGGCAGACCTAAACCCATTCCCCGTTCTCAAGAGGGCTCAGGCACTGCTGCAGAGCTCCACTCTGCAATACAAACACCAACACTTCTGCCCCAGCAGCATTCACTGGTGCCAAACTCTATGTTACTGATGCCTGTAGAGTTACACTTGACAAGAGAACACAATACTCCTCTGAGTGTACATGGTCAGGGAGAGAAAAACTAACATTCTTCATGGGGTTTTAGCTATTTTTTCCCCAAAGCCAAAAGTGTAATTTCTTTTTCCCCCTCACACACCACAGGATGGAAGCAGCTGACACTCTACTCCTCCAGTATATTCTGACCTTTTCCCCACACTGATTTTGTTTTTTTTAACATCCAACTAAAAGAAACACTATCACTGTAATTTGCACTGGGCCTGATACCAATAACTGTCAAGAATGTGTAACAGAGGCTAGAGGAGTAATGATACATTAATTTCTGCAAAGAATTAGAATAAACTTTGTGACATATCAAATGTAGTTCCTACAAAGCTGTATTCCCTTCCATGTAAGCTCATGCCATCTGAAGGGATTATGCTTGGACACAACTCAGTAATGGATCAAGTGTTTTTTGGGTTTTTTAAAATCTGATTAACATCTGACAGTAGCTAAGCAAGTGCACCCCATTCTGGCTAACCATCCTTCTTTTCATTGCAACAAAACCCTCCAAACAAGGTCTCCAAATCTCTCTAAGTACTGTGTGAGACAGAAGCAGCACTGTAAGAGACAAGGCTCCACCTACACCTTCACCTCTTCCTGTTCCATTTTATGTAAGCAAAAACAACCTCAATAAGGCCACACTGTCAAGTATTTTAACAAGTTTACACATTATTTTCTATCCTCTGTCACATGTAATAGCAGAGCAGGATAAAACCAAAATCCTTTCATTTCAAAGTACTTTCTGACTAGAGATCAAAGAACATTTAAAAACATAAGATGTTAGAGGGTTTGAAAATGGAAATGAAAACATAGGGAGGAGGGAGAGAGAAATGAATCTTTTTTTCTGAAGTTCACAGTGTAGGCATGTACCTGAATAGAAAAGCAGTGTATTTTTTTTTACATATTTGATCATAACTATCACTACTTTAAACAAATTCTCTTTTTCTCCTTGAGTCAGGGAGGGGGACAGAATAAATATACACTCAAAAGCAAAACAAAAACAGTTTCCCATCTCAACCAAAATTATTTTCCCCCAAAATAGTCATTGTCCAGCATAAGAAAATGAAATTCTGTGCTTTGCTCAACAATCTCAGTATGTGTCCTACAACCATTTGTAGCTCACCTCATTAGCATTGTGTGCTAACTCTAATCACCCAGGCACAGCTAACCAAACAAGTTACAGCCATGGCACAACCACTGTGAGATACCTTATCATGTGATATTCTCTGCTGGTGCAATTTATGTAATGCACCTTACTTTTCTTCTAAGCACTTCATGAAATCAATGTGGGTAAAGGCAGTTCCATTGCCACACACATATTCAAGGAAGGGAAGAGAGAGATAACTTCAGAGGCACCGTAAAAGCTAAGATTACATATCTACAGGTTTTTTTACACCAGTGGATTTTAATTTAGAACAAAAATCCATTTATCTAAATATCTAATGCCTATGAAGTTTGTGAGAATCAAAACAAAAAGACAGATGCATAAAAAACTTCACTCATTTCTTCTTTTACTCAATTTGCACAAGTCATGTTACATTGGACTGAGCGGATTTAATTTAGTGAAACCCAGGAGCTTATTTAGTCATGTCCTGGGAGCTTTCCATAGAATGCATCATCCTATACAGAATTTCTACGTATTTACAGTATTTTCAGCTACATTTCAGAGAAGAAAGAAGCCTAGAGTTGTACTACCAATGCCAGATCATTTTACAGAGTATGTTGAAAACAAATGAGATGTTCAGGATGAACATTTTTTTCAGAGAGACCTTAATCAAGAGCATGTATTTCAAAAACCCTATCTGGATCTTTTTTAAAATCAATCTATTGTAACACTGATAGAAAACACATTTTGAATTTGAGCTAGCAAGGCTGCAAGTTCTAACCACTTTTAAAATACGTAAGGCAAAAAAGAGCACTTTTATATTTCAACCTCATGCTTGAGGCCTAAAGGCACTTAAAATACTTCTGAATCGGGGAAATCCTGAAGTGAGGTGTATATAGAGTTACTAGGAAATAAAGAAGAGCGGCCAGTGTAAGATTATCAACTCAAGAAATGTCAACTCTCCTAATGAAGACAAACTAAGAAGAGCGGGGACACAGGAAGGCAACAGAAATTGCATTTAACTTAGATGAAGCTTCTCATGAACACCCACCTATTGAAACAAGTTCAGAGCTTTGTAACAGCAGCATTACATCCTTGTTTCCACAAGGACAGCAAAACAAAAAGTCCAGCAGCAGGACAGTGACAATGCATTTGGATGCAGAAGGGAGGAGAATTCCAGAAAAGCCCTCTCTCTAGGATCTCCAACAATATCCATAAAGCAAAACTTAGCTGAGAATAGAAATGCTCACAACACATTTTATGGAAACAAGCAATAAAAGAAACAGTGCAGCAAAATTACAACAACGGACTTGAAGTAAGAAGAAATCAGTGAACTTAAAAATATGGATTAAAAAAGAAGTCCCACTAGTAACAACATAAGCACAATAGGCTCTCGAGAATGATCATTCCTTTAAAAGTTAGTGGCATGTCAAAGAAAGATCAGAAAAAGTGGATGCAAACCGACATGGAACAAATATCACAAATATATACACTGATCACAATCACACAAAAAGAAGCAAAAGTAAGCAGGAGAAGTCAGGTCACCATTTAAAACACAACTAGCATGGTCATGAGGGCAGTAGCAACAAAGCATCCCACAGCATGCATATATACATGAAGGGGTAAAGCTCATCTGCAACTCCACAGTTCCTAACACACTAAAATCTCCTGTTATGTCATGCTTCCTTCCACCACCCCCCATCCTCCTCATAAAAAAATCAGCTCCAGACAACTCAAACATATACCTACAAATGCATTAAAGCAGGTTAAAATTACTATTTTGATACATTACACAATACCTCTCGTGCTGAATGGATAGTCAAAGAACTAGCTATATCCATATCTGAAACCAGAGAGGACAAGTGAAGTTCCATAAAGTACTGGAAAAAGCCAAACAGTAATTTTAAAATGGAGGAGGAAAACAGAGAAAACTAGTGAGCTACAGCTCAGTCATTTCAACTTTGTAATACTTAATGAACTAAGCTTCCTGAGAAGAGAAAAGCTTGGGCACAAACAGAAGAAACTTCCATAGAAGAAATTTAACATATGAGACAGCAGTCCAAGAATGCAAGAAGTCTTGCAGAAGCCACAAGGGATAAAATGTTGTGGGAGAGAGAATCCACCTATAAAGTGGAGGGAAAAGGATTTGGGAGAATTTTCTTCTGAGGGCAAGAAGTGAAAGTAAAAACCATGCCAGCCCCAGGGATCAGACAGGGCTGCAAGGAGTCACAAGCATCAGACTGCACTTGGCACTACAGCTTGTCCCTTCCTACTTACTGCACCCAAGTGCAGCATTCTTAACACAAGAACCACTTAATTCTGGTTACTGGCAACTTCTGGCTCTTGCATGTTCACTGTTAAAGCATTTCTATTCTAGAGCTTAATTGCCTACCTAGGTTCCAGGAGTTGGAAGAGGTCAAAACTGATGAAATTTAAACAAAATCTCTGCAGCAATGATTTAAATTAATAACAATGAGACAAGAGGGTCATCATGGCTGATGCCAAAACACTACAAACCAAAAACAGGCTTCAAGAATTGCTTCTCAGGATAAGTTGCATCTGAGGGATCTCTAAAGAACATTAAAGCCAAGTCTTACATTGTGACTACGTCTGGAAGAAGCTGGTTGAAAAGGACAATGAAGCTGCAGATCTAAGACTAGCATTTTGCAGCAACAGACTGGAGATATTAAACCAAGGAAGAAAAAACAAGAGGATTCAACCAAAGCAGAAAAGGTAAGTTTTAAAATGGACTTTTGCTCCCACAACCTCACTGCAATCAGGCATCTGAATAGTTGCCTCATGATGGGGGGGAAGAAAAAAAAAAGCCATGCCAAAGACTTGAGCACAGCCCCAAAAGATGAGTGTTTTCACTGGAGCTGTAACAAAGGAAACAGTGGTAAAGCCTCCCAGAGACCCTGGGTAATTTTATCCTACCAGGCTTATCCCTAATCTCTGAAAATAAGCCAAGACATGGGGTAAAAAAAGGAAATAAAGGAGACAGAGAAATTATGTCACCCACAGCAATATCCTAGTGGATTAAAAAGGAATGTTACTTCTGATATTCAGATGACATTTACAGAAGGTACTTTGACTGCATAAAGTTCAAAATAAAACTTCAGCAGAAGGATGAAGCCTGTGTGAAGAAAAGCTGAAGGCACATGAACAAGAAAGAAAAAGAAAAATCACAAATACATTAGCCTTCAAAAGATGATTTTGATAGAATTGGGTTTTCCTCCTACAGTTGTTTACTTCTAAGTAAGGGGATGTATTGAGTAAATTTTTGTTAGGTTTGGAGATTTTTTCTTGTTCATTTTTTTTGTTTTTTGTAGGAAATCTCTCACTATTTAAACCAAAAGCACCAACTCGATGTCTGTCAGCATCCAAGTCAAAAATCCCATATTCTAGGAATTCAGACCAAGGAAGTGAGAGCAGCCCAAACATGACAGACAAGCAAACAGAATGGGGACTTTTCTGCACACTTACTGCTGATTCAGAAGCCACTCTATACAGCGAGTTGGGGTGGGGAAGTGCGAGTTCCCAAGCATTAATCATTGCTGTGAGTGACCTTCAGTAAATAAAACCAAGCTTAAACAAAAAGCATTAGAAGTTTTAATGAATCAACCAACCATCAACCTCTACCCAAAGCATGAATTTCTGCAAATATGCTCTCCCCTTCCAAACTCACCATTTGATTTAATTTCTCGTACGTAGTTACTTGGAAACCATCCTGTTTTTCCATTCAAAGTTCCTTCCCACCAGCCTCCTTCTTCCACTCTTGTAACATGAATAATATCACCTTTTGAAAAAGAAAGTTCATCTTCATTTGTCTGTTGAAAATTAAATTTGGCTCTCACCACCAACTGATGGTTGCCGTTATCTGTCATGTCCTAGGAAGAGAAAACAAAGAATAAAATGATCATTAGAGACTTAAACAATATTTCCATGAGCAAAACAGAAATTGCCATAAAATGGAAATAGTCTTTGCTCCACACACAACAGTCCCCACACATTTTTACTCAAAAGCCTTTATAAGGTGCAATTTAGCATTTCCAGCATTTCTGTGATTCTTAATCTACAGATTTTTATCAATCATGGGAGTATATATTTTACTTATTACAGCCCCTCCAAATCAGAAAGGGTTAACAGCTAAAATGAGAATAATTATTGCTATCACAAAGAAAAAAGAAAACATATAAATTTTTCTATGACTAGCATAGACTGAAACTGCCTTTGACAACTACAATGAGACAAAGGCCTTAGATTAGAGAGTATTTTCCTAAAACTCTCTGCGCTGCAAGGAGGGAGAAACTGAGTTGGGTTTAATTTAATTTTAGATATATCAAGAGTTTGCAGCACAAAATCTTTTCTTTTTTCCTGTAACAGATCAGGTTAGTGGTTTCCACACTGAAGGTACAAGTCTCCACAGCCTGCCAAAGAAGGAGTGTTCTTTCACAAAACCTACGGAAAGTTACACAACTTACCTTGACTAAGTACTCCCAAATCATTTCTCTGAAGGCTAGCAAAGCTGGAAGCCTGCAGCAGTCAGACTTGCAGCTGTCCACACACACTATGTATGTGTGTATGCTCATCCCTTACCATGGGTGCAAAGGCAGATTATCACTCTGTCCTAACATCTGAATGTGCTTTGAAGTAACTAATCTGTCTTTCAAATTAACAATTTTCAAATTTAGCATTTTGTCCTTGGATGTCACTTTGGGTATCTGCACCATTCAAGCACTTTATGAGAGTTTGGGCAAACCTTTATGCTGAAAAAGTGCAATACTTGGGCAACTTCAAAAACATTGCACTGTAACTGGGAGAACAGCACTACAAATCATGTTTGTCTCTATCATAACCAAGAATCAATACCTGTACAGCTAAAAACACAGCTTAGTGAGAAAATGACTGTGTAAGCAGTCCTAGTCAGATCTCCAGGTTGAAGAATTTCCCCTACATGTTGCCTATATAGCTGAGGTGATGAAAAGACTGCATGTTGTCACTAGGATCTTACATGCCAGCTTAATTCATAACCCCAGCAATCATGTTATTGTATCACAACTCAATATGACTTTCATCAGAGTTAGCAGCTGAGAAACTACAGGAAAATGAGGGCAAACACAACTTGGAAAATGTGCAGAAAGTCCCAAGACAGTCCAAGTCCCAGTGTTTGACAATTAGATTGGCACATTCTCAAGTGCCTCTGCCTTAGTCCTCTGCTGGTACATTTTGTGCTTTCATCCTCTCTGCTCAACAAGAGAGAATGTTTTGGTTTAGTAAATGGTAAAAAGCCACTAAATAAGCAAAAACATTGCACAGTGAGACCAACTACAAACCCTATGCTCTGCCAGGTTGGCTTTCCAGCAGAGGAAATGAGTACAAACTTGGTGAGAACGGTTCCAAACAGATCATCTACACCAACAAAAACAAACTAGGAATTTCCTGGGTTTGGCCACTGGCTCTCTTTCCCTCCTTCTTGCACCTCTCTCCTCTAACTTTGCACAGAGCAACTCAGATCACCAAAGTGACAGAAACACTGAAAACTCTGATCACTTCAGTGATCCAGCTAACAGCCAGTCTCACCAACTGCTACATCTGCAAAACTGAGTGGGCTGTGAACAACAGAACAGGAGCTTGAATTAGTGGCCCTGGGCAAAAACTTCCACAGGCTCTGCTACCTGATAAAACACATTACACACCTAAGAAAGCCACAGATAAAGCAGCTTTCATTAGGGACCTGAATCCTCCTTGCAGACCTTCAGTGAATAAAAGTACATTTTATCACAATTTCCATGAGGTATGCAACCCTGAATTAAGCTGGACTATAAAACAATGGCCCACACAACTCAGTTACCCAAAGGCTAGTTGAAGGACCAACCTTGAAATATAACAGAAAACAGGAACAACTACCACTACTGCCAAAATTGGAAGTATCACCTTCACAGAGGTTTGAAAAACATTCAATCATCACCCCTAAACTCAGAGAGAAAATTAGATTTTCGCCTTTGGAAAAGCAAGTCCTTACACAGAGAAGAAAAACACAAATCCATGAAGATACTGTCTATGCAGACAAAATGGAGCACTAAAGGAGGAAAAAATAGTTTGAAGTTCACAAAAAGCTGCATGTATTTTGAAGCATCATGTAAAAGCTGCAAAAACAAACTCACAGGCTAAAAATACAGAACTGAAAGAGAAGAAACAGTTACTTTGCTATGCTATAATTTACTTACAAAGCTCATTAAAAAAGAAATGGGGAAAAGAAAGGGGGAAAAAAATACCACACCACAGCATATTTCATGCACACAGAACTTACCAAACTCCGATACTGTCCCTGAAAGAGTTTTGAAGTTCTACTGTGTGAAGACTGGGATCCCAAAGAATCAAAGGATTTTATCCGATGAGATGAGGGACGTGCACATACAGAGTCACTGCCCAGCCCTATGTCTATAGGAGGGTGGGAAAAAAAAAATAAATATTAGAATTTTAACAATCTGCATCTATAACTTCTGCTTATCTCTGTAAAATTCACATGCTTAAAGCAGATTTGATGTATCTGCAGTTACTCAGTAATTCAAGACTCAAAAATGATAGCAATAAATAATGTAAAATCCTGAGACATCGACAATTTCTTCCCCACACAGACAAGAAAACAACTTGGCCTGTTTAGAGAGAGGAGGGTTAGGGTTGTATTTCTCTATTCCTACTCACTACCAGTCTATTTAAAGGTAATTAACAGCATCATTTTAGCTAGTAGCCAAGAATTTTGACTGCATAAAACTTGCTTGAAGTGAAGCCAGCCACATCTGTTTCTTAGCTCTTCCCACAGCCTCCCATCTCCTTCTCAATTAAAACATTCCTTCCACTGTCTCTTTTTCTACATTCCTTTGCCTCATCCCTTTTTTTTTTTTTTGCCAACTAAGCTATTTTTTCTTCTTTGGAGGGAGGATTAGGAATACAAGAAAGGAAAATGCTGCTTCTCAAGTAAACAACACCATCCCAAAACATTTCCTCTCTTGCATTTGTCTCTCCTCAGAGAAGCACACCCATGTGACATGTTCACCTGAAGGATTGTGTGCCATCAGGGCTGCTGGGGTCCTTTAAGGACTGGGAGGCACCGAGGGAGCAGCAGGACAGGGCTCATCCCACCATCCCAGACAGGAGTGGGGCAGCTGGGGGCACCAGGGCAGCCCCAGCCCTGGACACTGGGCTGGCACATCCCTGGGATGAGGTGTTGCCAGCCAACAAGGGGGGGTGTGCCCTGTGGCTTAGAGAGCCACAGCCAGCCAGGGGCTGCACCAAAAGCAGCTCCCAAGAGGCAGGTTCAGTGCTGGCTGCAGCCTCCTTCCTTGATGCCACCACTCCAGAGACTGACACTTCAGTGGAGTGAAAACCCACAGAAGTCCTTCTTCAGTAATCATGCCCCTTTCTCACATTCCTCATATTGTAGGAAGGCCTATCTCAGAAGAACCTGTGTATGCCTGAAATTCTTGCAGATCCACATGGGGATCTGAAATCCATCTTCCAATATCAGAGCAGAGAGATACAGTCTAAAATGCCTCTATGCAATTACCCAGTTAATGAAAATTGTTTGGAAGAACAAGAAGGTTTATGCTTGCTCCTAGGAACGAGACAACACCACAGCTTGCATGTGGTTCTGATTTTTGGTTTCTATACCACCACCACATGCCCTCACCGTAAAAGGGATCAGCCCATGTCCCTTCTAACCAGCTGCAGTTGTGGCTCTTTGACATAGGCCTTAATCCATAGACATCTGGACAAAACAGCCACACTTTCTCCACGTTAACAGCAAAGGCAGCAATGGCTAGTTACAGCAGATTTAAAGATGTACTGCAATGGTTTGCATTTGCACTTACCCTTGAGATGAGAGGCAATATCTCCAACTGATCTAAACAGCTTCAAAGAAGTCAATGGTATTACTCCAAACCCATTCATTACAACTAAGATTTGGTTGCAAAACTTAATTTTAAGGGGTGCTTTCTAACGCAAGGAAAAAACCCACCAAAACCACAAAGTCACTCATGAAACAGATGAGAGATTATAAATGTGACAAGATACTTATCTCATTAGTATTAAACCAAGCAACACTTATGCATCACTGACTTTTCTATCACCTTTGCTTCCTTGCACAAAAACTGACACATACGGTTCAGTTTCTGACTGACCTGATGACCAGTACTGAAACTTGCTGCTGATGGTGGAACAGGAAGAAACCAAAAGGGCCAATGTCAACATTTCTTGACTGTCCCAGGGTTCAGCTGGCAGAATTTAGCACAGCCTCACCCTACAATGATGGATGGATACCTCTCACCTGTCTGGTATTCCTACAGCTCTCTCCCTTCCTATCCAAGAACTTAAGGTGAGTGGTTCATGACTTCTAGCTGCTAAATGAATGAAATATGTGGCTTAAGGGATCAAAGACATTGGATATCCTTTTGTTACTGGCAAGAAAGGATAGCACTGGGAAATGTAGGCTAGGGAGGGCAAAAATGTTGCAAAGTTGTTCAAATAGGAGAATGACAGAATGGAGCAAAAGTCAACTTTAGTAGTTCAAACTTGGAGGGAAAAAAAGAAAAACAACCTAAAAAGCAGGCCTCTCTGAAAAACACATTTTTTCTAAATTGCTTGCCAATTTAAAGGCTTAGCCTTAGCTCTACCACAAAGCTTCCTTCTGCAGAAGACATGACTAGAGAACCCAGAGCCACTGCAAAGTTTTAAAAGCATGAACTTCAACAAAAGCTCATTCAAAATACTGCATATGTTCACTTTGTCATGGGTACAACACAGATATAAATATACACTGATGCAAGTGAAAGTAGCAGTAAGCCAGCACAAGACAGAGCAGTCTACTCACCTGCAGTCACCTTATTTAAAGCCACAAGAGAGCTAAGAACTTTGCTGAAATTCTGTCCCTGATACAGGTCATTTGCATCAAAAGTCTGAAAAAGAACCAAATAACAAGTAGTTAAGTAGTTAATAAACAAGCCTTTAAGCTTGTACATACAAACCACAACTGTAGAAGCTATTGCATGATCAAAGCATCAGTCTTTTAGTGGTTGTTATGAACCAGTAAAGGGGGGGGGGGAGTTCTCCTTAAAAATTTTTTAAACCCCAAATTTTAAACTATGACACTTTTAAATGGAAAGATAATATAGCAACAGCTGCATTTGAAAAAAACTGAAGAACTGAGAAAGTAAAAATATCAAGTATCATTTAGGTTACAAGAATGTTGAATAATACAAGTATCAAGAAGCTTTCCTAAGACATTTTGGCCAAAAAAAAGTTACTGTGTACTATTACTCTTGGCGTACTCTTCTTTCTCTGTAGCAGTGCACAGGCATTGTACCTGATTTTTCATAATGTACTTTAAAAATAACTACTACAACCTACATGCCATCTCTTTAAAAGATGCAGAGGAAAACAGCATTCCTGAACATTAATGAATTTTAAAAGAATTAAATTGCTGGACAGGTTAGATCAAGGATGAGGTTTGGGAAGAGGACAGATGAAAGGAGAGGTTAATTTTATTTTTATTTTTTAACTGTGCTAAGGCAATCCAAACCTTGAATTATCTTGCAGAAAACACTCCAGCAACTTTCAAGCACTGGGTGATGACATTAAACATCTGGATTTTTTGGGGGAAAGAGGACATTTTTTCAAAAAAGGAAAAAACCCCACAAACCCATATTTGCCTGAGGTAATGGAAACACTCATCCAAAGTCTCATGAAAATAGCTCTTGCAATAGATTCTGCATAGGTTGAAAGAACTCACAGTACTCCTTTGTACAAGACTAGAAAGCTGACAATAAAAGACAGCTGCTGTAGTTCTTCCAACTGATTTAGGAAACAGAAAGATATTTAGTTTTCTGCAATGAAGCAGTTTTCATCTAAAAAGTCAACAAAAACCAGTTCACTTTTCTGACAACAGACCCATCCCACAGACACTATCAGAAAGTCCTTACCCAGAAAACAGCCTTCACAGACAGGAGAGGAAAAACTCATAATCCCAGGGGAGAAGCGAGAAAGGAACAAAGAAAGGCCAGTTTAACCCAAGAGAAGCAAAAGTATTAACAAAAGCCATGAAAGTAACCACAGAAGGGGCTGCCAGACCAGCTCTGACTGGTGATGCAATATCACAGAAAAGGTAGAACAGATTTAGAAAGCATTTAATGACTGTGTTACAGTAAAAAAAAAAAAAAAAAAAAATTAAAAAAATCCCAATGCATCCACACTATTTGAGGATTTGAGGTACCTGCATACACTCACATGCTCATTCCCCCCCCCTCAGACTGAGGATCATCTCTGGCCCCAGAAAGCAGCAGTTCCAGCTGGGCTGTACAGGTGCCAACATCCCTCAAGCTTGAGTAGCATTTACACAGCTCAGAAAAGCAATGCCACACAACACACACAGCATCAAGCAGTCAGAACCACACAACAGTATACTCCAAGCAGTTATTGCTCCCATAAACAAAGTCAAATAACTACTTCAACAAGTTTCACTGGACTACAGATAATTTAAAAAGACTTCTCTTAGTTATTTGAAGCTGTAAGTAGTAAGGAGAGGCACCAGGGAATTGCCTAGATGTGAATTTCGTAAGGCTTTTCCTCAAACACAAGGAATATTAAACGATTATGTACACACAAAAAAGGCATTAAAGAGAAAAAATAATCTGATTTAACAAACAGAAATGATAGATTTTATTAACAGCATAATTTACAAAGTCAAAACTGAGATCAGCTTAACCTCTGCTCAAATTGGGGGGAAAAATTAAGCTGCTATGGAACACGAAAGTACTAAGAGTGTGAAATTTCCATTATTGCTACACGCTTATTGTAGTAGTTTTTAAACAAACTTGAAGTGTAAGTAAACTTGAAGTGTGAACAGAATCACAAAAGCCTAGCCCTGATTCTAAAAAAATTAAATACACAAGACAGGTGCTCATGCAGAAACCAGAACGGGATCAGAAAGGGACAACAAGGGAGAAAGAGAATGACTAAGAAAGGGAACATTTCAAAAAAGGTTACAAATGATAGCTTAAACTTACAGAACCTTAAAACAACCCATTTTAATCTCACCTTCATTCTGGATTCTGATAGAGCCAAGAGCTCCCCACAGTCAGGCTAACTTGAGAACAAAAGGCTGAGAGGAAGCCCCGTTTCCTGCTACACTCAGACTATAGGAGGAACCAAGAACAACTTGATTGGATCATCCCAACACGGTAGAGTGCCATAAAAAACCTGTATCCAGGACATGCATCCAGCCTGCTCACAGGAAACAGCACAATGGGAGGATGCAAGAAACATTTGCTTCCTTGTGATTTTACATGAAGCAGTTCTGACAGGAAGCCGCTCTCAGCAGATCATGGCCAGAATGTTCAGCAGCAGCCTACAATAAAGGGGGAGGGGGACATGACACCCTCCAGAGGGGTCTTCTCCTTACATGGCAAATATGTAAGACATAAATAACCTAGAGAGGTAAAAGGTAAGGGAAATAACACAAGTGCTCTAAAGAATTAAGGCTAATTCTTGATTATAAACCCCTTATCTCAAAAAACAAAAAAAAAAAACAACAGAAAAAAAAACCAACCCCAAACAAACCAAAACCCAAGGAAATACACAGCCCACAAAAAAAAAAAAAAAAAAAAAAAAACAAAAAAAAAACCCACACAAAAAAACCCTGAAAAACCAAAAGACCTTGCCAAAACAAAACATCAAACAAACAAAAAAACCCCCCTACTAACCACTTACACCCTTCTCCCATCTTAGTGGACGTTTGTTCATTTCAATATACATCTGAAAACTTTGACAGGGTAAGAAAATCAAGTAGCCAGAGAAAACAATCTACTCCAGGTTTTCAAGGGAAGTCTGATTTGCATGTGGTCTGTAATCTTTATACTGGTAATTATGGAAAAATCAGCTGTAGAACTGACTCTAAAAATTTATCTTTATGTTAGAAAGAGTAACTTCTCATTCAGTGACACTGGATAGCAAACAAACCCCCTCCACCATGCAGCACTCCCAAGTCTTCAACTGCAAAAATCAAAGCTGGATTTTGAGTTCCAAATATCAAGCCAAACTATTTTTATAACACAATATATTACCAAATAATAAGGTCTGCATACTAAATAACTTCCATAATACTGGCATAATCCACTTTTCTAATCACAGCAGAAGCATAACATGAACTCAAAGCTGCACACCCCTACAGCTCTGTAAACCTAAAAACACAAACACTTAGAAAAGTATTACTTAGCAAATATCAAGATTTGCCTTTTGAATAGTACGCAACAGGTATATATAGACATTAAACAAATTTTTATGGAAAAAAATATTTCCAGTATGTCCTCAACTTCCAGGCAAACAAATTTTATAACTCTCAGGTAGAGACTCTACCTGTGATGAAATTTACCCTCTTGTTCATTCAATCCTTACTTTCCACCAAGAGTCAGATTAAACATTAGTAGAAATACAAGAATAAAACTGTCATAAATCAGATAAGGACCAAGTTAAGCCAAATCTTTTGAACAAACTATTTAGCTATACCTTTGTTATTAAATAACACAGAACTGCCCACATGCACATAAGCATGAAGATGAGAGGAGGAGAACGGGCGATGCTCAGAGTGACGGTGTTTGTCTTGCCAAGTCACCACTAGGAGTGATGCAGCCTGCTTTCCTGGAGCTGGCTGAACATCCATCTGCCTGCTCATGGGAAATAATGGATTCACTCCTGGTTCTGCTTTCTGGCACACACAGCTTCAGCTGCACCCGTGACACTGCCTTTACCTCACCTGAGGAGTTTCCTCTCTCCTGTACCCTTCTGAACCTCCCCCCAAACCCCACCAGGGCAGAGTGAGAGTGTGCCTGCCTGGGGCTGCACCACAACACCCCTCAATGGATACCATGTTCTGAAGGCAGAGCAGACCAGGCCAGCAGTGACCTACAAACAGCACTGTCCATAACACTCTGGAGCACTCTGGTACTTCTGCTCACTGCCTGCCAAGGCCTGCCAATTGCCTACTCCACCCACAGATCCTGGCTTCCCTTTCCACACGCCACACTAATCCCAAACACACAAGCCTGGCTTCCCACAATTACATATGCATTTTCTGCCCCCAGATTTCAACTGGCTACCTACCTTATTGATAACAATTCTATGACCTCTTCCAGGTCATTAATGAAATGTTACATAATGTGGTTATGTAGTAACAGCAGCAAAACCCCTACAACAAGATATACACTGGATGGTCATTCTCCATTTGGAATTTGAATGAAGTTCATTAATAAGGCAGATTTTAAACTCTTCATCACAGCCATTTTCACTTTTCCATCACTGACATTTCTTCAACACCAAACAAAATGCCTTAGAGATTCATTTCATCCACATACTGGCTGTTCAACTACCACATTTACCCTCTGATTCTAAACAAGATTAAACTATGCATGGATCTGCTTAAACTCCATAGCATTCAAAATTATCTGAATGTATATGGACCATTTTAAGTCATCTAAACCACTAACCCCCAGTGGATGGAGACTTCTGCTCAGTGTTTCTCATCTAATAAGAATAAGGAAATAAAACTAACATAAGAACGCTTACCACTCATGTCCCTGCAAGAACCAGTACCTACTGAAAGGAAAAAACACTACAAGAGAGCTTGATGAAGGAAAAAGGAAATGAGAAAATAAAGCTGAAAATCTATCTGAGAGCAGACTACAGCATGCAGTAAGCCTGCAGCAAGATCCTTTTCTTCAAATCAGTCAGTTTTAAGGCCTCATGCTACCTCCATATTATTTTATTTCCCCCTTCTAGACCTTAAAGTCAGAATCCCATTGTGGAGGAAGTATTTTTAAAATAAAGGTACTTCACCTGATAAAGCAAAGTCTACAACTAGAGAGAGGGGAAAAAACATTGGGGGTGGTGCAGCCAAGTTTTCTTCTGACACACACTTTCTTCAAATGTGTCTTTTACAAACCTTGACTTGCTTGTGTCCTTAAACCAGCAGAGCATCAGTAAGGTTATATCTAACAGTCACAGCAAGAAAAGTTCATATTCTGGTTAAGAGTAAAACAGAAAGGTTTTTCTTTGTTAAACTACTGCCCTGAATATACCCAGGTACAGTATTCCCAGTGAGCATTAACACTTGAATCATCTGACAAAAACAGGTGACAGCTTTCTTTGCAGTGCTGCAGCACCAGCTGCAGCAGCTGAGGAGCAGCCCAGGCCTGTGGCAGCACAGACAGGGCAGCTGCTGCTCACCTCCCCAGCAGCCCCAGAAGAAGCTGGGAGCCCTGGGCTGTGTGTACTAAAGCAGCAGGACGCTTTCCAGCTCGGTGTTGCAGCCTCAGGCCCCCAAAAGCTGAGGAGAGAGAACATTGGCTGGCTCAGCCGGAGGAAATGAGAGGAAATGAGCAGAGTGGCCTGACAAAGCACAGCGTGACACCACAACGTGTCACTGCACCTGCTCCTGCTGCACTCACTGCAGGGCTCCTGGCCATGGCAGCATGAATAAAGAAGTGGCAGGGGAAAAAAGCAACTCATGTTAAGAAACAGGTGATTGCAAAAAGCACTGAGAATCCCAACACCTTTCTTTGTTGGGCCACAATCCTTGGAGCAGCTAAAGAGGATGCCACGGAGGCCATCCACAGCTCACCTTCCAGGGATGACATCTAATAAACCCAAGCTGAAAAAAAGATCCTGTAGGTAAGCCCAGAAGCAAATCACAGATTTGTTCATTTATTCTCACATTAGGTCAGCTCTAAGCAGTGCTGCAGCTATTATGCAGCAGCTGCTGCTTGAGCTGTGCATTATCATCTGAAAGCTGCAGCAGTAAAAGGAGAGATAAGAAAAGCAGGGAACTATGACAACTGGGAGGAAAGGAAGGGGTGAGGGGAGAAGAGATGATTACAAATGTTCTGGAAATCTCTATGACGCATACTGTTGCCCAAATGTAGCACTGTATGGCACAAAAGAAAGTTACCAAAAAAAATAAGTTCT